CACACTTCTATTGCTGCCCACAGATACTACTTACCAGCTAAGTGCTATTTCTTATTTTTATAACGTTTTTTCTGTTGTTTTGTTCGCTGACGAAGGCTTTCTGCCGACACGTTCGCTGTTTTGTTGCGTTTAATTTTTCAGGTTTAACCATACTCTGTTTTACTCATTTTATTTTGTACTAACCTGATTGCAGTCTCTCCCCTTATTACCTAAATCTTCCAGTTCAAAACACGATTATTATAGGTTTAACTGTACACCATTTAAGAAATCACAAATGTCATACACAATGAAACAATCTTATTTTACACTACGTTACAAAGATTAAAAATTATACGTAACAATTTTTTTAAACATTAGTATCACATTTTGTTGTTGTTGATTTCTTACAGAATAAACTGTTTTATTAAAAACAATAAGTGTGTTATGGTAATTTTGTAAAATGTTTTTGTCCATTTAACAATTTAGAGTGTGGACTCAATGAGTGGGGAGAAAACTGCTTGTACAGTTGCTACGAAAAGTGTTGGGCTGATTGCATTGACAGGGAAACCGGGGAATGTTCACCAGGTATATGAAACGGTCTGACATTGTGGTGCAAGAAATAGCTATCGGCCGTCTAAATTAGGACAAGCTGCAATAGTATATGTATAAGCACAATGAATCATACGTTGTACGCAACATGAGTATTAAATTCACCGACGTGTGCATTAAATACTTTTAAAGAGGCCACTTTGTTTTGTGCGAGAACCGTTTAATATTATTTTTTTAGGAGGGAGGCTCAGGGAGGTAACAGTTGTACAAATCGAGTTACCTATAATAAGTTCTTTAAGCTATAGCACTAATCCATCCCCAGTGTAGGTTAAGGTCCATAACGTGCTTAAGCCTTCTTATTATGAACGCTATAAAGGGTAAAAATAATTAAATTTAAATTTGAGTATCGGTATCTTCTTACATCTTATAGATAAAGTTGAACACTATAACTGTCGTTAATCAAATTTATTAACCGTATGTTCGGCTTTGTGTGTTATTTATATGTAAGTATATTATAAATTCTTTTTTTTTTTTTTTTTTTTTTTTTTTTTTTTTTATTTTTGTTTTTTTTTTTTTTTTTTTTGGTGTTTTAAAAATTTTTTATTTTAATTCTGGTTATTTTTGTATCCGTTTCGGTGTACTAAAAATGTTTTAATGACATATTGCATCTTACAATTAAAATGTAATGTATATTTAAATATCCTTATTAAAAAGTAAAACTACATTTTTAACATAAATCAAATGACTTTTCCCCTTACCAATCTAAAAGAGGCATAAACACCAATGGATAAGTCGATGTTTAATCAATGACCTAACATTCAAATTTCTTTTCGCCATCAGTCACCATTCTGATCACAGTTTTACCTTGGATTATGTGCTTTGGATTCATCAGTGCGACAGCTCTCATGTGTAATAAGTAAGTAGCTTTTAACGGGTATTATATATGATCTTTTTTTTTTAAATGATCCTTTAAATAATATACGAGTTTAGATTTATTAAAGTATAACTCGCATATTAATTCAACATCAGGGTGGCGTTGAAGCACGAAACGACTTCTTCACTTAAAGGTTCAAACAAACCATGGTTAATTATATTGAATAGTTTGGTCAAATCTTTTGACTCACACTTTTAAGTGAAAGAGAGATCCTGTTTTGATCATATGTCTAAATGATGTTAGCGTGACCAAATATCCCCATTATTCTGAGCACTTTAAATGGGTTAAAAGTCATTGGAAATAAAAAAATGCTGACTCTGATAACGTGCGTGGTTTTCTTCATGTTTTTCTCCCCGTGTCAATGATGATTAGATCCGATTGAATTAATGAAAATAGACTCCAAACAAAAAACCTCACATCATGAACACAATTTACAAAAAAAAAAAAAAAAAAAAAAAAAAAAAAAAAAAAAAAAAAAAAAAAAAAAAAAAAAAAAAAAAAAAAAAAAAATAATTAATGAAAATAGACCCCAAACAAAAAACCTAAAAAAATAAAAAAAATTTACAAAAAAAAAAAAAAAAAAAAAAAACCCAAATGAATCGACTTTTTAACAGAAAAAGAGAGCGAGAAGAAATGTTACAAGGTAAAGTTGCAATCGAAATACGAGAAGAGAAACCGGAACCGTCGGAAAGCAAAGAGAAGAAGAGAGAGATTGTCAGGATGAAGTCAAATGAAACTAAACGAGTCAAGAAAGTTAGAAAAAAGGTCTGGAAATGGTTGATGACATCAAAGGCTGATCCTTCCATTCCGAGCCATGGAGGTAAGCCGACGGGTATTTGATAAGTTCTAACAACTTGCAAAATATATGTTTGTTGTTCTTATTGACTAGTTTCCATTTGAAAAAAAAAACAACAGAATATGATGAACTCAGTTTTGCAAGAATAGATGAAATTTTTTTTTTTAAATGTGTAAGCAAGAAGTTCCAAACGTGTTATGTTATATCGTGCTTTTAAAATGTGACACTGGGTGAGTTGAATTTATTTTACGCACCGTTGTCGCTTAGACACGGAACCAACAGTCATGTTTACCATAAGTGGCCGTTGGTTGGCCGAGCAGTCTAAACATAGACAACCTCTAGCTAATCGACCGCCGTTCTAAAACTGACAGTGACAATCCCAACAACTCCTGTAAAACGAATAAAGAGCAATGTGAGGCACACACATACACTGCTGGTCATATTCTGGTCTGTTTCCTGTCGTCTTGACTAAGTCTTGCCGTTGGATCAAATGTTCAAGGACGAGTGTGAGAGAGAGAGAGAGAGAGAGAGAGAGAGAGAGAGAGAGAGAGAGAGAGAGAGAGAGAGAGAAAGAGAGAGGGTGGGGGGTGACAAAATAAGCATCTATCCTTCACTTTAAACCAACCACACCTCAAGTCAAGACTACTCCTCATGTCGAAGATCTAAGTCTTGCCGTTGGATCAAATGTTCAAGGACGAGTGTGAGAGAGAGAGAGAGAGAGAGAGAGAGAGAGAGAGAGAGAGAGAGAGAGAGAGAGAGAGAGAAAGAGAGAGGGTGGGGGTTGACAAAATAAGCATCTATCCTTCACTTTAAACCAACCACACCTCAAGTCAAGACTACTCCTCATGTCGAAGATCGCCTTGTTCATCTAATCATCATTTTTTTAAACTGTGAGAAAACAGAACTGTACAATCTATTGCTAGCCCGCGTATTAATAAAAGCAAGACCATATGGATACCTTTACGAAAATGGATTAGTTCCACTGGTAAATTCTTAGAGCTCATTGATTTATTTTAAGTATGCACTGTGGCCTTAAATATTCAGATAAATAAATCAATGAAATTCTGCATTTCACTTCAATTTTTTTTAATTGATTAGCTTTCTCTACAACTGATGTGAGTGAGGAGGACTGAATACAAAAAAGAGGAATAGTCTGAAATGGTATAAACAGATTTTTAAAAAAAAATATTTTGTTATTCATAACCGTTTTTTTGTATTGTTATTTAATGGTTTTTTTTTTAATTTATCATATGATGACGGTCGGTTAAGTAATTTTTTTCAAGTTATTTTTGCAACATAATTTTATTTTCTAGTGCACAACAAAATCGTGTTGATGGTGTCGGTTTGCCAGACCGCCAATAACGTTATGTTTCACTTCCCACGAACTTTATTCTTATTTAATGCAAGTGATATTTAATGCTAAGCCATGATATCATATGCAAAGTTCAGATGGCATTTGAAGATCCCCAACAATCTATATATATATATAATTCGCCAGCTAAGGTCAATTTCCACCATCACGCAGGCTATATTTAGATGCGCCTAGAGTGTGGTTCAATAATGAGTTCACTAGCGCGCAAAATATAATTCCCAATAACTACGCTAAATGATATATATCTATTTTTAATAACGCAATTGCGTTTGGTAAGTAATATTTTTTTTTCGGAAATGAAATCGTCTCAATTTAAGTGTTGTGTAAAAAATATTCGGTTTAAAAGTGATTGGGACATGAGAATATTAAATATAGTTCATGGGCGTGAAATAAAAAGTGTGCAGTGACGTATCATGGGGGGAAGGGGTGTAGCAAATATTGGGATTCTTAAATGTGCGTTACTTGAGTTCATGTTTTGTCAAGTAACTTTACTAGATGGGAAGTTCACGCATTGCTGTCGACAATGTTTGGCGGGCTATATCTAGTTATTAAAACTTTATTTATCATAATCATTTTTTCTACGTTAATTTAATTAGATCTATAAAAAATAAAATAGAAAGAAATTTAAAACAAAATCGATCTTGCTTTTATTAAAAAGCATGAATGATTTTGTATATCTTATTTTTTATTTCTCTGTGTTATTTTTCCGTTTTGACATAATAATATACGCTTTACGGTACTTGGCATTTTCTATTCATATCTCATTATGTGCTTTAAATAACGTTCAAATGTTTCTATCATCTCCCAAAAAGAACATAGCCCAAGTACAGAGGTCGGAAACGCACATATGAAAGCCAATGGCCTAGAGGTTGTGAACGGAAGCAACGTAAAAATACCATATGCCATATTTGAAGTTAAACTATTTAACTTGAATACAGGTGTGAATGGTTACAAGTAAAGGAGTTTCGTTTGAAATGAGTTTTAAAAAAAAAAAGATTTACTTTTTTTTCTCTTTGATCTTGAGCAAATAATATTTATTTGTAGCAACTTTATTTAAATTTCCAATTTAAAAATGAGGTGATATGAAGACACTGTGGATATCATTTAAGTATTATTGAAAAAACGTTTAAGTTTTTTATAATAATATAATAAACATTTAAGAAATATGCATTAAATTTTTAAACACAAAGTCCAATTTTTTTTAGAAAACATGAAAAAGAATGGCAGTGAATATCTATAATATACTTCCTTAACAGTGACAGAAGACCTCTTAAATGTTACAAAACTGTAATCTATTTTTTATGGAACACCCTTACTAGGGACAAAAAAAGTTCCGGTAATTTTAATGACTTCTGGATTGTTAAAAATAAGATCCAAATCTTACCTCCCACATTTGCCACCAAGGTTTTTTTTTTTCAATTCTACCATGTTACTTTAAAGCTTTTTGTTACTTTATTTTTGTGTAGCTTAAAGGTAGTAGCTGAATAATAGAACATATGTTAAGTCGCCATCTTGACATTTCAATGCTAAAGGCTAAAGCTGTCCATTTAAACTATTAAATAGATAATTTTTTAGACTATGATTTCATATATTATTATCTAGAAGTATTTTTGTTGATATTTAATAGTTGATATAAAAAAAATTAAACAAATATAATCATTAATGATTGACAAGGGGAAGTCGCCTGCTCTATTCACTTTCTATAAAACAAGCAAGCTGGCTAAAAATATCACTTTTTGAAAGTAGAATAATATTTTTGTTTAAAATTTAACAGGTTCTGATAATTCCATTCAATGATTTTTTTTCTTCACATTTTAATGAACAAATATTTTAAAAAAAAAAGACAAATGTAAAAAACGTTAATAATGAAAATTATTTTAAAGTGTACGCAATTATAATTTTTTTATCTCGTCCTTGTGCAGAACATGTAAATTTAAAACAAATTTAAACATGTCCTCAGAGTTGTAAATACATGGATTTTGTTATTATTATAATTAGGTGCACCGGAAAGTTTAACTTTTTTTGTCTTAACTATAACCAAATATGTTTTCTTGTATAATGAACAAAGTGTTCTAAAAGAAAATATGTGTGATAAATGTGCATAGCTATTTTGATTTCAATAAAACCATGCTGAAACACAAATTATCTTTCCAGAAGATCAATTGATATTAATACATTCTTGAAACTCATTGTAATACCAGTACAAGTAATGGAACATCTTTATCATGGTCCATGTACACATGTCAAGTTAAGTTGTTTTTTTTTAAAATGATGATATCAAATGGAGAGCGAATCCTTCAAAATTATATGAGCCAAATGTACAAATATGTTTTCATATAAATTTAGTGCAGATACTCAAAAAGTACTATTTAACCTACTTGAAATAAAATTTTACATGATGCACATCGATTGAAACGAGTAAATATAGGCGCATCACTTAATCTATTTCGTCTCTCTAACGTTTTTCTTCCATTAGAAGTTCGAGAGACTTCTTAAAAAACAATATTCCTATTTGTTTACAAGAAGTACGTTAAGTAACGTTAAAATATACAAAGAAAAATGCATTACAAAATATTCAGATAATTGTGTGGTGGAAATAACATACACGATATAATAATTAGATTATTTAATTATGGGTGATTGGTTGATTAAAATTTCTATTTAAATTTTATTAGGTATCAATCTAAAACTTTTACAAAAAGTGTATTGCTAAAATAAAAATTCTGCTTAAGATATTCTATTTAATAGAGAATTTCTCTAATAAAACCAAACAAATTTCACTCCTGCCAATCTGTGGAAATAACAAAAAGAATTAATGTTCTTTGTTTCAAATTTAAGAGTTTCTACGTAGGAACAAGGGGACTTCTTTCACAAGTTTTGATTTGAGAATTTAAAATAACTTTTCTATGAAAAAATTTATCTGCACATAATCTCATTTTATGTAAGTCTTAATTTGTATTCATTGAAAAGATAATTGTCTTGTCAATAGGATATTAATTATTTACCGTTAGAACCTCTTGGCTAGTTCAGTGAATACCCAACGTTGACATCAAAATCACTCTCTTGAACAGATACTGGTAAGGTTATTACAATTAATTATTATTATTACATGAACTGATTTAAAAGTAAGGCTTAAGTAGTAAATTACAAAAGAAAAGATCACAATCTTTCATTGAACGAAAATAAGAACAACTACTTTGCTACTAAACATGATTATACAATTTTTACTGAAGTTTTTGTTGATAATAATTATTTTTTTAAAAAATTAATAGGAGATTAGAATAATATTTGCAAAAGTGATTTTTTTAGAAAAAATTATTGCGTTTAATTTTTGTTCTAAACTTTACAAAAAGCAACCAGAAAAGAAGCAACAGCTTGATGACATTGATGATATTGCTCATTATTCTATAGCTAATCACCAACGAACCTGCTCTTTCCACTCGTGGCTTAACAGCAACACACTGCCATCGTATTCCATACTTATACTTGGAGCGCCTGGTTAATGAGGTGAAAAAAAAAAAAAGCAAACTCAATCTTATTTATAGAATAAACAGTACATTTTTAATGGCTTTTAAAAGGATTTTTTATAATTATTTTTTTTTCAAATTGCAACATAAAAAGACAACAACACAAAATAACAACAATGTACATACACAGCAAAGTATCGCTTTCTTGTGTCTTCTTTCCCATTGCTACGACTGGTTATAGAATCGTTGTCCAACACTCCTAAAAAATTCAATTGTAAATGTTATCTGTTTTTTTTTTAAATTTAAATCTTCAAGCTCTTAAAAGTTGTAGGAAATAGACGTTGTCGTTTAACACTTTTAGTACTTAGAAACATTTTTAAGCCGCTATAAAACAATAGATGAAAGGGAAAGCATTTATATTAAATCTGATCCGTTTGTATAAAAAAATATATATTAAAACTATATTGTTAAAATAAGGAAATGCAATTACCTACCGTTTCTAGGCGTTGCCAACACAGCAACGGCAGCTTCTTCTGTCAGTCTTTCACTCTTGGTCGGTAAGGTGACAACTCTCTCATGTATTATATTCTGGCCTTCTGTTCATTCATTTTATTTTATATTTTTTTTTATAGATAAAGTAAATGTATACATCAAAGTCAGTGAAACCAATATTAAAATGGCATCTAGACACAATTTTAATTTAATGTAGTTTAACTGTGTAAATATAAATCAAGACTTTACCGAAGAAAATAAGATAAGTCAATGTTGATGACGTGGCTTAAAAAAACAATCATCTACTCTATACAATAATGAAAAACCTATTTCTGTTGTTTACCTTGGTGTGGACAATGAACTGTACATTGAACCAAGAGCAAGCTAAACAGAAGAAATGAATCGACAGGAAAGTACATTAAAAGCTTTGACCAGTTCTTCTTTTTTTAAAATGATATGAACTATTAGTTGATTGCAAAACTGATCTGATGGAGTAACAAGCACGATTTTAATGATGTAATAAAATATTTGCATCGTTATATTACAACACGTTTATGCTACATCTTTTCTTTCATTGAAGGATACATCAACTTAATTGTTGAAACATTCGGGGATATACCCTTTTTATTTAAAATTTAAAACAAAATGTGTCATTGATCTTCACAAAATATATTAAGCAAAAAATACTTTGTAGACTTACTCGGGCTTTTCCTCCAAAGAGTCAATATAAGATTTTCTGACGTCATCCTGCATGTTGGACAGTGTAATATGTTCGTGCTTGCTTCGTTCTTCCCTGACTTGACCCATATGTTAATAAGATAAAGAAAATATTTTTTTCTTATAAACATGTGGCTATTTGTGGAGATGAACATCCACTATTGTTCCTCAAAATTGAGAATTGGGTGTTGATGTGGTGTATATTGCTTTATTTGGCCGTCTACAGTTTTGTTTAGGTTTTTGGGGAAAGTAAAAGTAAAAATAGAGATTTTTAAGGAATTTAAAAAAAAAAATGTAAAGAGTGTAATTGATGAGACAAACAAGCCATTGTCAAAATTTTAACAATTTATACATCAGCTAACATCTACTGCATTACCCACGCCCGAGCATCGTAAATACATTTTACATAATATAAAAATTCATTTAAAAAAAACGGCCTAATATGCTATTAGAACAATATTTGTCTAAGGCTACGAAAAAAAAAGTCTCCTACCCAATTTGACAGCCCCACGTCTTTGAAACTGAATCCAAACCAATATTGGGGTGAGGAATATAAAAGGGATTGGTGGGAAAACGAGATAATAGTACTTCATCGTAGTTGTCATGATTTGCAGCGCCCATACCTCCGTGGCTCGCTCCTCCATTTGTTTAATCTTGGAGCTAAAACGATATGAAGTTAGCTTATGAGTGTCATCTATAATAACAGTGTCCCTCATCTATGGTGTGTAACGACTTCAATGCTCTTTTTGAAAACCGCCACAGAACTGTCTCACATTCGGCTTAAAGTAGCGTCTAATGACAAGCCAGGAAGTTCTTCTCCCTGTTTTGTATAGCATAAAGGAAAAATCTGCATTGAAAAAACAACAACCAACACGCTATGTACCATGGACTGTGCTGCCCGAACGCAATAGCCCCTCTAAGCCTGGTGGTAAAACCATCACACAAAAGTCGCTTATCGTGCAGGCTTTTTAGATGATCAGATCAATCGCTACAATTGCCGTGTGCACGGTAGGGCCTCCAAGTGTACACCGTGTATTATTGTGCGCTCATTCAACTAAGACGCGCAAAATCAGAGGACCGTCCAAGGTTCACACATTTGAGCAAATTCACCGCGTCTTAGGCGCCAGGCCATCTCTAATCACTTTAAATCATAAAGACGTCAAGCAAAAAGATATGCGTTGGAGAATTAAACTGAATTTTTTTTATGTATTATAAGGTTATAGTTTTTTCTGCAATATTTTTACAAATAATCCTATGAAGATTAAATTAAATATTGAAATCTTGAAATTAATATACCATGAAGCTTTCTTTAAAAAAAACTACTGATGGCACCATTTTTAACTTGAAAAACTCGGTTTGTGTTGAGTGGAGAACATATTATATGCAGGTGAATTTCACAATTCATTTATAGTATAACAATCATTACATATTAAATGCTTAGATCATGACATTTCCAACATGTGAATTTAACCAGTTCACAAAAAGAGAAAATAATTTAATGGTGTGTAAACTTATAAGCTTGCCTGAATTTTGCAATCAGCACGTTGAAAATGAACAAATTCACGGCTATAAAATAGACTCCCAGCAGAATGGACACGTAGTATCGGCCGCTGTAGGATGGACACCTCAAGGTTTCGTATGAGTTGTAATCACTGGGGTTGTCGGAGCACTTGGTATTTGTGTTGGTGGCTGTCATGTAAAAACAAGGCATTAACAATTAAGAATAACCATGTCTAATGATCAAACAAATAGGACTGATTTTATTCTGACGCATTTTGAAACAATTTTTGTAGTTATCTTTCTTTTTTTTCTTCAGAATTTTCTATGGATTTGAATAATTGTCAATGTATGTGATTGTCATTTAAAAAAAAGCTCTATCCAAAATTTCCACCTGTCATCAATCTAAATTCTAAATTATTTAAGCGACTCCTTAAAATTGTATCAGATCATATATACATATATAAAGACATAAACATATGATGAAATAAAATAGCTGTTTAATTAGATATTGTTTTGACTTTTTTAGAAATACTCTGAGCGCATTAACATTGTAATCAGTGATTAATGTGTAATCATTTCAGTTTCAAAATACACTAATTTTAAATTACAAAACGAATTTTTTAAAAAAAATGTATTAAAATATGTATACAGCTGTATAACACCAACCATCCGTTTCTAGTTCCTCTAACATGAAATCTGCAAACATGCCCCAGAACGCCTTCCGGAATAGGTAAAACGGTACCCTCGACTCAGGTTCTGTGATCGGGTTGAGTACAGATTCCGAGGCGATGGCATACGCGAAGAACAGGACCAAAATAATAGCGCAAAACCTGATAAAGATACTTATCTGAAGAAATCAGAGAAACACTCATGAAATTAGACTCATGCAAATGTTCATATGAATGAAATCAATTTACTTTGATTACACAAAGATATGTTAAAGATTATTTATTTTTTTGTTAAATGCCACAGACTTTTTAAAAAATATGTTTGTTGGTTTGTTTCGTTATGTCAAATAAAATGTTATATATTATATCGGATAATGCGATATTTACTTTTTTTTTTTTTTTTTAAAGTTCAATTAATTTATTTGATAACCAAAGCATTTAATTTGATAAAGCTATAAACGTACTCAGCCTTACCATTTGCCACAACGTCTCAATCAAGGGTCCTAAGAATCTGGACATGTATTATATTATATCGGATAATGCGATATTTACTTTTTTTTTTTTTTTTTTAAAGTTCAATTAATTTATTTGATAACCAAAGCATTTAATTTGATACAGCTATAAACGTACTCAGCCTTACCATTTGCCACAACGTCTCAATCAAGGGTCCTAAGAATCTGGACATGTAGCAAAACTCGAGAACAGTTAGAGAGAAGACGATGAAGTCCAAACTGAAGATTATTCGAGCCCAAATCATAAACTCGGGATTGCCAGGTTCAAAATATGCGGCTATCCTCAAAATCCAAGCCACCAAGAACAGAATCTGAGAGATTATCGATAGCACAAGGAACCCTGGTCGTAAGTGAGAGAAGGAATTGCGAGCCAGCTGCAAATATAAGAGGCGTGCCGTGATTTTAAAATATTGCTTTTAAAAGTAACGAGCAAATCCTGTGTTGTATTCATATAACTCAACCTGCGATAGGTTTGAATTTATTTTCTGTTATCAATGAATGTTGACAATGGGCGAAGTAAACGAAAAATTGATCTTGAATAAACTTGATGACGTTAAAATGCATTCAGCTCAACATTGTTGAACATTGTCTTTCCACGAGGACACGCCACTGAAATACCTGATTGATTAACTCCAAGAGGAAAGTTATCACACATGCCAGGATAATCCATTCCAGAATGTGAAAACTCTCCGTCTTTAGGAATGAAACGAGGAGAACTGCGTAGGCGATCAGGAAAGCAGCAACCCCGATCTGATTTAAAATGTAAAAATTATTAGACTTTCCATTTAATTTACTCAAACTACTGACACATTATATAACTTTTACTTTTTACTTCTTTTCTCTTTTAATAAAAATATACTTTTTTGTGTAGTTCTACAGACTTTAAGAAAAAGCTTCACAGTTATTACGATTTTCACCAAGATTACTATTTCAAATTTGTTGCATGGAATCCTTGTTTAATTACAAAAGAAAACATTTGAATACGGTATCCTTTGCAGATCAATGTTTAAAAGCATAAATATCACATTTAAAACTGTCAATATGGTACTGATATGTTTCTGGGTGAAAAGAAATATGGAAAACTAGGTGTGTTCTGTATAATAGGGTGTTTCAAAATTTGTCCACCAAGATATTGTTAGACGGTTTATTTCTTCTTAATTAAACATGACAATTATTTCAAGTTGTCAAATAAAAGAAAGGAATTAAAACATGCTTTCAAGTCTATTTTGTATAATTATAAACCATGCTTTCCTACCAGGTTCAAAAACATCAGGACTTTTGGTGATGGGTGGTTTATCTCATTCTTGTTCTGGTCAGTGTCTTCTTTACTGTTAAACTTCATCCTGGACTTAAACAAGGATTTACGCAACTCGGAACATGGCGGTTGTGATAGAAACTTTCCATTGTCCGTTTTCATGGCCAGCTTCACGCAGCTGGTATTCCCCCACGACTCCATATTCATCAAAAGTATCGATCGCGTTTTCTCAGCGTCTCTGCTGTAGTTGAGGTTGATGGTTGCAATAGCGTACTCCAAGAAGACTCTGTGCAATATATTCAAATATCACTACATTTTAATCCAAACTTTATAAAAAAAAAAGTACGAATTGATGCTTTTTTTACTGGAATATTGAAACCGTGTGTTGACTTACTTCTTCATTTCTTTGATCACCTTACAACTCCTGAAGTCCTCTCGTTGTCTTCTTTCCATTTTATCAAGTTTCCCATAGGCGTATAATGCGGCACCTGTGGGATGCTGTAAAGAAACACGACAGTCAACTCATCCAGAAAATAGTGTATTAATTTAATTGACGGCATCTGTATCTAAACGTTTAGCACCTATTTTGAAGAATCTGCTTAACGGGTATTTTGTTCAGTGATATCAGCGTCATCTGGTTGCTAGTGAAACTGTTTCATGGATAATTATGTATTTATATATATATATATTTATATATNTATATATATATATATATATATATATATACAGCAGTGTAGGAAGAGTAAAAAAAGACAGAAGCTGTGCGACGTGAAGCCCTTGCAACAAAGAGAGCAATGGGGAAGTTAAGATCTAACCAGGAGTTAAGGTCCTGCGAGAAATGCAGTGGGGACCGTCATTCCAGGATCGGCTTATTAAGACGCTTAATGAAGTGTACAAAGCTCAACCATCCTCTCGCAAAGATGTTAGGATACCGAATTTATATTTATTATACATATATCAAGGTTTTAGATTTATTTTTATTAAATCATATTCACATTATAATCAAAGTACACATCCATTTTGTATTGGATGGAAAAGCAATATGAGCACCTTGTCTCGCGACTAAAGAAAGATAGAATGTATGATTGACGTGACATCTTATTTTCTAAAGAGTTATGGATGTATATGGAATGTTTTGAATCATCCTTCCAAATGTGAATCTTATTCAAGGAAATAAATGTATATTATAACAAAAACATTTGACATGTGAAGTCATGGACTTTATGTTATTACAAAAAACAGTTGTGAGATAAGTATTTAACCTCTGAGATATCCGCTCAGGTCATGATCATTCTGACAAGTAATCACAGGAGCATCAACAAGGACACCAGAACATAGAGACATGTTACAATTTTTATGATTGTTTACGTACCTCGACTTTTAGCCAAAGTAATTTTGACAATTCCAGTCGCTTTGTTTTAATTGCTTTCTTGAATAAATCGTCAGCTTAAAAAAAAAATTAAATAAACAAACAACACAGTGACACGTTAATAGACATTCTGAAATTGTTCGTGAAAGAAATCTGCTTTCCAAATTCGGGTGGGTCATTAGAATATTAATATAGTTCAGGGGCATGAAAAAAAAAGTGTGGCTTTAGACTGGGGGGGGGGGGGAGGACAGTTGCACTATGTGGGATTCTTATAAATTGAATTACTTGTATGAATGATTAGTCAATAATTCAGCCCCATCCCTCATTGCTCAATATAAAATTGTATGAAGGATTTAATGCGAAAAACATTGTTTTTAGGGGTTGTTTGATTTAAACTGAGCTTTCTTCACTCTGATCTCTTATAATATATATTATCACACTTCTGGCGTGATGTGTGGACTGCTGCCATTTATGGCAGCTTCTTAACAAACTTGATGCTTCCTATTCAGCTTATTTGGTATTGAGAGTGTACTACAATTAATCTATATGTTTGGAAGATAGAATGGTCAATATTGAATTCACTGGCGCGCAAAATGCAATTCCCGATTACTACGCTAAATGATTTTTTTTTTTTTTAAATAACGCAGCTGCGTTTGGTGTGTAATATTTTCTTTTTGGAAAATGAAATCCTTAAAAAATTTAAGTTTGATCTAAAAAGTATTCTATTCGGTTTAAAAGTGTTTGGGACATCAGATTATTTAATATTGTTCATGGTCGTGAAACGAAAAGTGTGCAGTGACGTAGCATGTGGAAAGGAGTGTAGCGAAAATTGAGATTCTTAAATGTGATTTACTTGAGGTAATGTTTCGTCAAGTAACTTTTTTGTAAATGGGAAGTTCACGCAAATGCTGTCGCCAATGTTTGGCGGGCTATATCTAGTAAAAAAAATAATACACTTTGACATGCACATTTAAATGTGTAACATATTTCCAATCTTTGACATCGAGCAAGAACTATTTCAAAATAGTATAGGTGTAAGAATATGCATCGTTACTGGGGGCGATATCTTCGCAAGAGGTGTCATTGTGATGAAGTATGTACATGGGGCCCGTCATACCTTTCAGAATTGTGATTTTAATTAATCATTTGCCCGCATGTATATATATTTTTTTTCCAATGAGATTTTCAATAATTATATTAAAATGCAGTGAGCACATTTATTTTAAATATTCGGAACGTCAAAATATATCGCTACTAGGAATATTTCTTCCTTAGCTCTACTTCTTTTTTAAAAAAATGTTTGTTTTTTTTTGGTGGTGGGGGGGGGGGGAGAGATGTAGTTGATTTGCCTGAAAGTTTTCATTGTGCCAACGACATCAGCAGTTAATTAAACTGCATTTTAATTTTATACAGTCTCATTATTTTTAGTTTGAATTTAATATACGTATTTGATTATGTTTTTGTTACATTATTGTTTTATTTAAATTAAAAAAAATAAACTTTGATTGTGTTACCTGAATCGCCTGATGGGTGTTTCTCTTGTACAGCTGAATTTATTCGTAGAATGTTTTTAATTTCTGTCCAAAAAGAAGATTTTTTCTGGGGAGGGGTGGGGGGGAATCATATAGCAAGTATAGGAATAATTTAAATTACCACAAAAAAAACAGCAACAACAAAAAAACATGATACTATTTAGGACAGTGGATATTGCAATCGACGAACACGTCATTTAATCAATATAGAGCAACAAAACAAAAAAAGGCACGCGAGGATGTCTTTTAATAATCAACCCGAAAAAAAAAACAGATTAGGAAAAAGCAAATAAATCAAATTTCTTAAGTAATTATATTTCCAATAGATTATTTTTGAACACTACAAACTTGATACAAAAAAAACAAATGTTTTAATTTTTTTTTTCAAAAATGAATAAAGTTTGTTTCTTTTACATATAAAAACACGATTTGTGTTGTCATACGATAAAATCAGATACTTTGTTTTCCATTGTTAAAAATGAATGGAAATGTGTTTTGATTACATTGTCAATATCTTACAAAGACAAATATATTTAACTACTACAATTTAAACACAAGACCATTTAAGGTTTTATCTAGCGCCAAATCGGTCAATCGTCAAATACCTAGGAACTTCACAACATAGTTACAATGACTTTAAAAGTGATTATAAAGATTTAGTTTAACTTCCACGTAGGCTAAGTACACGGGTAAATTCTGATAGATTGGGGTACACATGAATCTTTGTATCTTTCGGTTCAAAATTTGATGGAAAGAATTCGTCATAATCGTGGTTAACTATGAGGTACCTGTAATGTGGAGGGTTGAATGTATCTTTCGAGTTTTTTTAAAGTTTTTTTTTTAAGCTTTAAAAATACATATTACCTGAAATAGTTCTTCTTCAAGCGAAGGTAGTTTAGTTTGAGCGATATTACGTTCTTTCTTTATAACTCTATTTAATCTGTGTTTAATACAAACTATATTAGAATTGTAAATACAAATATGATTTCGCCAATGTTGAAACATTAGGTCTTACAAAAAGATCAAGTCGTTTATAAAAATCTATGTTGAGATACTTTTTAAAGTAACTTATTCATTTTCTTTGTCTTTTCTATATTCCATGTAGCATGATCTATTACATTGCTGGTTAGAATATGTTGTATGAAAGAATACACTACACATTTGCTATATTTGAAAATTTGTAAGACTCTACAAGGTATATGAATTTGAATTATTGTAGGATCAGAGCATACATCTATTGGATAACGTTGTCTCAGTTTCAAGGAGATTAAGTGAACGTGTAAAAAAAAAAAAAATTTGACTTGAAAAACTCAAACGTACCGTGTCATCATATTTCACTGTCTCAATCGCAAAATGTGTTACACATGTAACTATTTCCGTGCTTAGTAGATTTCACTTTTTCAAAAAAATGATATACATGTATTACTTTCATTCTAGCCTTCTTAAATGCCCCCACTCAATAAGTATATGGCCAGATTTTTGTGTTTGTTCACGTCAGAGAATAACTATGTAGTAAACAATGAAAACCTGTGCAAGACAGAAGAAAATCCTAAAACATCAACCGATATTGATTAATATGTAAATGCTGATTTATAATTAGGTACAATTAAAAATCTTTAAACCAAGCTCTTTGACTTTACACAGCTTGGTAATCAATTGAATGATGGAGGTGCCCCAAATTCATAGTTTACAAGAGTTATGAAAAAATGACTTTTTTTTATTTTTTTTTTTTTTTACAGCAGATCATTTTAAATAATTGTAGTTAAGAGTTTAGCGAAGTTGTTCATTTATGTTTAAATGGTCTCCAAATTAATCAGTACGCTCATTACACTTTTCACATTCTTGCTACAAATACAACCCCAAGAAATGGAGGGCTATACAGTCATGTTTCTAATCATGTCTTGTGACTATGATCTGGGTGAAACATGTATAGTGCGAGTGGCTTCATTCGGCACTGATGTGCATCTGCTTTTATTCTAACCTAACAGTTCACCATTATTTATTCTAATTAATATGGCTGAAGAATACAACAGAAGTGTGAATAAAGGTACACTGCTCTAATTCATGCAAACCTAGAAGTATAACATATTTGAAAAATCAAGTAGCATATCTTAAAGTCGATTTACACAATTTAAAACAATAGAACTAAAATGAAATAAAATGTTCAAATAAATGTACCTTCGTTTTTTAAAGGTACCGCTTTCTTTGTCTTTCGCCCGTTATCGCTGAACTGAATTACAACCATATCGGTAACAAAACATTGTATTGCATTGGTTAAAACACAGATAGGACGTTAGCTGCCCGTTTTAAAAGAGTTGGTATTCATTTTTAATGAGTTAGGCTTTCTCTACATAAACAAATGTAAAAACTACAAAAGAGTTTAGGCTTTTCAAGAAAATAATAATTTAATTCTTCAGAGAATTTTAAAAAAGTACCTTTGAATTTTTATCTTTGCTATCCGTTTGTGGAGACGCACCTGAAAAAATTAAGAAAATGATATATCAGTACTTTTTAAGAATAGAATTTTAAACTTGTTAGACAGTAAAGAAATAAATAATGTAAACTTTTTCTTTGAAAATTTGAAAAAAAATATTTAAAAAAAATACATATTTTTCAAGCTCTCTTGGAATGTGTTTTTTTATTAGGAGTTATCGATTTAAAAATTTAATCGAAACGTTCCTTTAGTTGTCATTAGCTAGTAATCTCTATACAAATACCGAAAAAAGCTTGCTTTAGCTACTTTATATATATATATATATATATATATATTTATGTCCTGACGGTTGTGCTTGTGGTGTTAGTTTCCAAGTGAATATCTAGACCTGAATACAGAGTAAAATGGCTGAATTTGTATCTTTCATCAGTTATTCTATATTACATAATCTCACATTATACTCGAGCCCTAACTAAAAGTTATCCAGCTTGATACCATTTGCTGTGGTTAGGGGTATGGGAGATATGGACCGCACAGGATGACCCCAATTTTAAGGGGTTACACCAAACTGAAAAATTGCGTATTTAAAGAGAACCCACGGTTTGGTCTAGCCAAATTTCCTAACAGGATAAATGATGTTACGTACATTTTCCAAACATGTAACCAATGCAAATGCGTGTTTCATTAAAGCTTCAAGGTTGATGGGTCAGAAATGAGGTGACCCTATAATTCGGTCAGAAAAACACCGTTTTCACCATGATTAAACGCCGATTGAAGTGTTCGTTAACTTTCTTTAGTGACAGGAAACTTTATTTATCTAAATTCTGAGAAATAAACCTTTTCATTGATAAAAACGGGTGATTCTAAGAACATGTTACCGTATATAAATAAATTTTCCTCCTGAACATCAATGACTTGGGTTTTTTTTGTTCTTGTCATTGTTATACAGTGTACTTAGTAAACAAAGAATAACTCCATTGTGAAGTCGATGGGAGGTGATGACACCGTAAGTGTACCGCACTAGGTGGCACCCACTACAGTTTCGACACTGCTTGTATCACATTATCCAGTGCAGGGCTTTCGCCTGCCTCAATAAATCCTTCTTCTGAGACCTAACAGATGCTTTACTTTTCCATACTTGGATTCTCATCTGCGGTAGACCCCTTTACATATCATTCATCCATCTGAGACCAGATTTTCCTCTTAGATTCGGTGGTGCGTCCTGTTCACTCCTCATTTGGCATTCGGTGTAAGTGTCCTGTCCAGCGTTGCCTTCCCATTTTGATTTCTGCTACACGTGTGCCACCCTGATATAGACTTGACAGTTAAAGATTGTTTCGTGTTTTTCATCCATATCCATCCATTGGTGGTCCGTATATTTTAAGAACTTTTCACTCCCATGTGTTGAATAGCTTTTGTACCATTTTTGTTAAGGTCCAAATTTCACTTTGCAACAACTGTTCTGATTACATTTTTACATATAGTTTTCTAACCAGCTCAATTATAATTTAACAAAAGAATTACCATGCTGCAGAGAACCAGGCATTTCTGTAACGTCGTCGGGTTTGATGTTTTCTAGCTGTGTATGTCCATTGTCAAGAAGGTATTCAAGAATTTTACATTGGTCAAATTGAACTGTTTCATTGGTCAGTTTTTTCACTTCATTAGAGTCCTAAAGAAAATTAAATGACGTCAAATTTCAAAGTTGATGAATAGGAAATGTCATTTCCTATTTCAATGAAACTTTCATACTATTCTAGATTATAGCGATGTGTGATATAATCAAAGGTTACAATTATTATTTTATTAATCATTCTGAGAAATATAACAACCTGCTCTTCTTTTGTTCAGCATGTAATGATAAAATCTCCAAATCATGGGTGGAGAGAGAGGGGAGAGAGAGACTGAGACAGAGAGAGAGAGAGAGAGAGACAGAGAGCGTGGGAGAAAACGAGAGAGAGAAAGAGACAGAGAAAGAGACACAGTGAGAGAAAGAAAGAAAAATAGAGACATAGATAGATTGCGAAAGAGAGATACAGAGAGAAAATGAAAGAGAAAGATTGAGAAAGAGAGATAGAGAGAGAAAGAGAGAGAGAAATGAGAGAGAGAATGAGAGAGAGAGAGAGAGAAAAGAGACTGAGAGAGAACGAGAAGGAGACATACAGCTTCAGAGAAAGAGAGAGAGAAGGAGACAAAGAGAGAGTAAGAGGGTGAGAGAAAGAGAGTCACCGAGAGAAAGACAGAAAGAGAGAGAAAAAGAGAGAAGGAGAGGTAAAGAAAGAGAGTCACCGAGAGAAAGACAGAGAGAGAGGGAGAAAGAGTGAGAAAGAAAGATAGATACAGAGAGAGACAGAGAGAGATAGATTGAGAAAGAAGGAGAGAGAGAGAGAGAAAGAGACAGAGAAAGAGGCCGAGAGAGGGAGACTGAGAGAGATTGAGAGAAAGAGAGACATAGAGACAGAGAGGGAGAGATAAAGATTTAGAGAACGATTAATAGAAAAAAGAGACACAGAGAGAGACACAGAGTGAGAGAGAAAGAGATAGATAGATAGAGAGAAAAAAAAGAGAGAAAAAGACATTCAGAGAAAGAGAGAGAGAGAGTAAGAAAGAGAGTGAGAGAGAGAAAGAAAGAGAGTCAGAGAAAGAGAGAGAGAGGTTAAGAAAGAGAGTGAGAGAGAGAAAGAGAGTCAGAGAAAGAGAGAGAGAGAGAGAGTAAGAAAGAGAGTCAGAGAGAGAAAGAGAGTCAGAGCGAGAAAGAGATTCTTAGAGAGAAAGAGAGTCAGAGAGAGAGAGAGAGAGACAGAGACAAAGACATAAAGAAAGAAAAAAGTATTCCAGAATAAACCAGCCCAACATCCTAAGCATAACCGCAGACCTAGTCATTTCATCCTTTAAAGTCTGAAACATCGGCACACTGTGATGAGGGATGGCAAAGAAAAGAACACAAAAAGCAGAAATACAAATGTTCTTTAAAATAAAAATATATCTATACCTTGGTTTTAAATATACCGTTTAATCTTTCATGATGCATTAACTCTTCCAGCTGGTTCAATGTAATGGAAAGGGAGCCGTAAGCCAAGGCTTTCTTGTCATTTTCCTGGGTCACACCTAAACCAATGGTTTACATTGCGAGCCATGATAAGAATGTTTCTTCTTTTCATTTTAAAAAAAAAATGAAAGATTTAATTTTGAACGAAAAGCAAAACATAAAACGTTAAGAAATAGGTCTGAATCCTACATTATGTTACTTTTTTTTCTTTCTTCTCCAGTACTGACCATTTAGAGATTTTAGGATGACTTTAGACAACTTATTCAAATAATCTCCGCCTTTGAGGTCAAGGTAAAACAAAAGGTCTGGGTACGCCTTGTAAATCTCAGCACACTCTAGTGGAAGTTTTCCATTGCTAAACATTTCAAGAAAGGCATAAAACCAACATGTATTAGTATGGTTATTAATCGTAACACTCTTTAAAGTGGTTTTTACACAAATTTGATTTAGATCAGTTAACTGCGTTTTATTTACACACACACACACACACACACACACACACACACATATATATATATATATATATATATATATATATATACACACACACACATATATTAGACATAAAAAAAACATATATTTGTATATTTATTTATCGTAACACTCTCTATAGTGTTTTTTACACACATTTGATTTAGATAAGTTAACTGCGTTTTATTTACACACACACACACACACACACACACACACACACATATATATATATATATATATATATATATATATATATACACACACACACAAATATCTTATCACTTTGAAGCTTTTCTCATATAATTGCTATTTCTTTGAAATATTTGCCTCTAAACATCAAATACATAATTTTCGAACATACCTTTTCTTTTTCTTTGATAGATCAAAGAAATAATCTGCGACTCCACCAGATCCCTATTGCAGCGGAAACAATCACCGGTTTTAGCACATAATAAACACAAATTATGAAAGATGTTTGATTTAAAGTAAAACTAAACATATGTGTGCGCAACGGTTGTGGACATTCTGGTTGGAAACCAACTTTAGTGTTAAAATGTATTAGACTGTTTTAGATTTCGATACAAACATAGGCCTACCTTTACACAAATTATGGGTATTTTCTGTCTTAAGAACTTTTTTATGATTTCCAAAGATTCAACACCACCAGACACCAGTACAGCACACTCTAGAATGTCATCTTAAAGGCATTTAAGTTGAGTTTTATTTTGCTTCTAAATAGAATTTGCTACAATATTTATAAGTGCAAGAGCATTAACATGTTGCTAACATGTAAAAATATTTTGTTTGAACTTTAAATTTTTGTCTCTAAATTAAAAATTGAAAAACAAATTAGCACATTTGAAGTCTTATCTAACATTTTTCAATTTTGTCGTTTAATTATAAAATATTTCAATACAGTAAACATGGCGTATAGCTTTACCTTCCTCGTGCTTGACTATAATTTCATAATGGAGTGGATGTAAGAGAAGTCGACGAATTTCAGAGTAGTTTTCTTTCAACTGAAACCCACGAATGAGCTCAAACTAATTAAATATCAATATACATACAAATATATATATATTCATTTAAAGCATTTGAAATTCGTTTTGCTTAAAAAAATAAAACTTACGTAAAAAGAAATAGACTAATCCCAAAGTTAACTTAAAAAATTATAAGCAAAAAAAAAATAAAATAATAATAATAATAATAACGATAAAAAAAAGATTAAAAAAGAAAAAAAAAACAAATGTGTAATTTTATTTCTCTCTAGCGTTCTTTTTCACACGAGTATTTTCTTGAAAGTAGCCATTGCTTGACCAAATTATCCATCAATTGCATTCATCAAACGATAAGAACATAACCTTATTTACGCACACTTATGGCATTTACGGCACTTAAGTTTTGGAAGGTTACCTGAATAGCCTCTGTGGCAGCTGATGTGAGAGCACTTGTGTTTAGTGACAAGACGTTACCGACGTTCTGATGGAAACACTGATGGAAACCATCAACCGTGGCATCAGACTGCTTATTGGTTTTACCATTTTGAACAGGCTGAGTGGATTTGCTATTTTCCGTAAGATTATTCCGTTGCCGGTGTTGTTCTTTTATGATTGTACTGTCTGAACTTGTTTTAACTATTTCATTATCAGTGTTCACATTTCGACGTGCTATTATCATCCAGAAACCTGCAGTTGGAAGAAAATAGAAATAATGAAATTCCTCGTCTTACAGATTGGTAAACCCGAAAACAGGGTCGGGTAGAAAGTTCGTTCGTTTTGGTCTCTTTGCCAACCTACTTTGATTTCTTCGCACTATCTCTTTTCTTCTCACTCACTCTCATCGGCTGGTCCTCCTCGGTTCAAAGATTCCGTGCTAGTTTAGCAAACCCCTTGCCAATATGCCGCGCACGTTGTGCAGCCCCCGCGCCAATATGCCGGCCCGTCGACCACAGAACCTACCTATACAGGCACGCATTGACTACAAGTTGTCTGTTCTCTGTCACAAATTTTTCTTGGATTCCTGCCCTTCATATCTAACCGAACTTCTTTCTGTCTATTCACCCCTCCGACAGCTTCGCTCCTCTGCAGACACGCGTATTCTGTCCGTTCCCGAGACACGCACTAAAACATATGGTGAACGATCTTTCTCTTTCTGCGCCCCCAAACAATGGAATTCTTTGCCACTACACATCCGCAATATACCAAACACACAGGCCTTCAAAACTGCACTAAAAACATATCTTTTTAAATAATACTACCCTGATGTGGTGGGGTTGGTGAATATACATTGCTGTTCTTTATTTCATAAATGTATTTTATTTTAATGTCATGATTATGTCTCTTTTGATACAATTTTTATGTACAGCATGGTGAGCTCAGCCCTAGGCTGGGGTACCGTGCTATATAAGACCTCTTATTATTATTATTATTATTATTATATTCCGCGCCAGTTTAGTAGACCCCTTGCCAATATGCCGGGCCAGAGTAACAGACCACCTGCTAATATGCTGGGCCAGTAGAGCAGAATTCCTGCCAGTGTTCGTTTTTGTACCCCCTGCATACAAAGTTAGTCAATGAATCGTTTCCTTGATCACAACTTTGCACCACGGCCCTCCTAAATGTCGGCGATACCCTTGAGACTAATGAGTTTGCATGGTTTCAAAGGACGGCTCTGCTTCGATTCTTTCTATGTATTCTCATCTTTAACAACGTTTGGATAGGCCAGTGCAGTATGGAGATATCGATATAACTTAATAACCGATTACATTACTCCACGCTTTATATAATTTCACTCTCTTTTATATTATTGACACCCTCCCATCTTGACAACGGGAGCTTCCTAATTAACCTTCTCTCCCGTCTCATAATTGATGGTCCTTTTGAGCACCTCAATAATAACTTCATTTTGAGGCTTCACTACCGCCAAGATAAGGTCCCTTTAAGGAGTCCAATCTGTGACTTGTCTAAACCTATTCACGAATGGGAGCGTTGAACAGAAAAGTCAATGATAATGTTTTATTTCACTCACGGCACAAGAATTTTTGGATTTCGCATGAATTATTATTATGTAATCGTACAACGACCATTGCCAAACAGCCTGCCAAAAAGATTCTAATATTTAAGTATTTTTTTATCTATTTTAGGATTGTTTGTGGTTTTTTTGGCAAAAGCTTCAGAAATACACATTATTAAAACTTGGTAAACCGATGTAAATTGCTTATAGATATTTCTGGTTATCAAAAAATAAAAATAATCATTGACACATTGGATAACTATAAATGTAAAAACGTGCGTGGAAGACTTAAAGCGAATTAAAAATATGTTAGAGAGGAATACATTTATTAAACAGCAAATTGATCATAAAAACAGAAGTGCCACTATTACTGAAACAAATTTCAACACAGAAATGACGTCATTTCCGTGTTGATCAACTCACCATAATGTTCAACAAATTTCAGCAGCTCTTGAATTTTCTCACTAAAGTTTGCATCCTCCGCTCCAATCAGCCGAAGAATGAGCTGTATAAATTTTAAGAATCAAGTTTAGTTGACGGTAAAATTACTTTCTCCTTTTTCTTTGCTATATATTTAGTTGTTGAAAATATTTTAACGATTTATTTGTATTAGTTTGCTTAGGTGCATTTATAAAACAATGAGGTGAATGGTTACCTTAGATTTAGTAGTGATGGTTACTGACTTTGTTTTCTCCTGTGAATGGCCTATCTTATGAGGCTGATCATTCATTGCTCTTTTGTACTGTGTTTTTACTCCCCGAAATCTCTCATCATCATCCTTATGTGGAGTCTGCTGATGGAAATAAAATTTGTTTTTTTCTTAGCACCTGACAAAGTGGAGGACCATGATCAATGTGGCAAACGACCAAGTTGCGGACCATGACAAAGTGACGCACTATGACAAAGTGGCGCTCCATGTACAGCCTCTTGTTCTAAGAAGACAACTTTGGGAATAAGCTCTCCTCGAACGTCTGTTGTAAGCGAATCCTTAAATAAAGGCTATTGTTAAGTTTTTGCTATTTTATGTGTGTTGATTTAATTGTATTTCTATTTATTTCAATTATTCTTTTCGTTTTTTAAAGATTATTTAAAAAAGTTTCTGACCCGTCCCAAAATAAAATATGTAGTTGTGACAACTCACGCGCAGAACTAAAAATATGAAAAATAATTCGAAAACCAAGAATTCAAAGACGACCTTACCACTGGGACAAGAGTTCGATCAAAATTGTTCGTATAGATCTTTGTTGTCGTAGCGAGTCTGCCCTTAAAGTTGTCATTGGTTAAAGGATCTGTGCGGGGTGTCTACGCAAACAAGAAGAAAGAGCAAGTAGACATAAAAAGGGCTGGGCATATATAGATTCATTAGACACGAACAATTTGTGTCAATGTTACAATATATATATATTCTACACAAGGAAACGTTTCGGCACATACTTTCATCATTATAACAACAAAACATTTAAATAAGCTTTCATTAAAACTACATAATACATATATATATATCCTACCTAAAAAAAGAAAAAAATAGGATTGGGCGAAAAAAACAACATATATATAATTTCAAGTGTTCACGTAAAGAGCATTGCTGTAACACACACACACAGATATGATAGCTTTTCATGTGAGAAATAATTATTGTTTGATCAAATAATAATTTGAAAATCGTTAACGTTGACGACACATGGCTTGGACGTCATGTTCTTAGTCATTTTTTCTACGTCCTGTTCTCGTGACGACCAATCGCAGTGGACTTTCTTTTCTTCATTTCTGTATTTTTTCCGCCTGTATGTCATCTCTCACTTACTTATGTTCTGTCACATTCCCCTTGCTGTCCTCTTACCTATTTATGTTCTGCCACGTTCCCCTTGCTGTCCTCTTACCTATTTATGTTCTGTCACATTCCTCTTTGCTGTCCTCTAGGATACTAAATTACAGCTAAGTGTTTTTAATGTTGTCTGTTCGCTGAATGTAAATTTCTTTCCCAGTTCTTGTTTTTTTTTTTCCTTTGTTTTTTTGTTTTTTGTTTTTTTGCGTCCTATTGTTTCAGGCTGTCCCATACTTAATTTCACCTATTTCATTTAATTTAGCCTCATTAAAGTCTCTACCCTGTTATTTCAATGACCATTTTATGTTTACTCCTAATCCAAACTTTCCAATCAATCAAGGGTCACTCTCATCTCAGAAACCACTACACATCTCTATCACTTTAGTTTTACTGGAGATCCAGTTCTGACGCATTAAAAAAAAACATGCCTACCCAGGTTACATCCAAAGTCTAGCTTATCAGACGACGCCCGGCCAGGCAGCGCTATGCTGTTTATTCTCGCCATTTTCTCGTCGCAGGAGTTGTCAGAATGTTTCATTGTTCGAACGTTCGGACTATAGTGCTCCATCTTCAGGTTCTGAATTCAGAGTTCACTTCTCTTAGATGAGTTGCCATCCGAGGTTAACGCATCCCATCCGACGGGGTGCTGGTGATGGTTTTGCTTGACTGGGCTCTGGCTGGGATGAAACTAAAGACCCACCGACTTTGAGGTTTTCTCTGTCTACGGTGCGCGTAAACTCCACCGTCTGAGATGACCATGAACCAATTGGTCGGTGTCATTACGTCAGTACAGTGACGAGGTAACACTATCCAGGATTCGGTTTTTTTGGGTTGATCAACGACACAATCTGGTCGACAGGGTGTCTCTCACCAGAGCGCAACTCGCAGGTCAAGCTGACCAAGTCAACAAATGATGTCAGCGATCAATCTTTTATTCTGTTTTTTGGTTTGTTTTTTGAGTGGGTGGGGGTGGTTGGAGAAGAGAAACAAACGTTTGCTTCATATTCCATTCAACTCTCAGATTTCCATTATCTTTAAATTTGCAAACATTTCAATGAACACCATGCAAGAATCCAGAGGCGTAGCGAGGGGAGGCAGGGGGACAGATTGCCCGGGCGCAAGCTAGTTAGGGGCGCCAAAATGTGATTTGATACTAAATTATTGGTAAACAATAATGGGTTTGAGAGTTGAAAAAAAGAAAAGGGGAAGCTTTAAAATAGATCTTGTCCCCGGGCGCGAATCTTGTCCCCGGGTGCCAAACACCCTCGCTACGCCTCTGCAAGAATCCGGTGCTTGGAATACCTTTGAGACAAACGTAGCATATGTAGCTGGCTTTGTCGGATACCTAACAGCATGTTCCAAGCAAGAACCAAAAAATATTAAAACATGTATTCGTTTTTGAAAGTCTCCCAGCCAACCCTGTACACGCATGTATGATTGATTTATGTTACAGGTTTGAGAGGCACGGCTTTTGAGATTCACTTATTCTATACGGATGTGTTTCATTTCAAACGTGAGAAGTAACACACACAAAAATCTGTCAAGTCGTACTACGCAAAAAAGCAGATATACCTTTAAGGACATTTATCTTAGCTTACAGAATGTAAGAAAGAAAACACACATTAATGTAAAGCTTACCTTGGATTTGCCTGTCTCAATAAAATCATCAATTGTATGAGCTTTCGAATCGGGCACATTTTCCCGAGGCATTGTCGTGGATTGCTATCACCCCAACAGTGCTACCTGGCTATAAAAGGCTTACAATTGTTCATGCTTTACATGAGGTGAACAGTATTATTTTTACTGTCATATACTATTTTATAATCAGCTGATCTAAATAAAATAACACACGGAAAAAACCATAACAAGAACAATTTGAAATGTTACCACACCTGATGAGGTAGTCCAATTGAAGTGCATATATATCTATTTAAAAATTACGACCAAAAAAATTTTTAAAAAATGATCTGGGACATGGCCTAAAATCCACCTTTAAAAAAGCCACCGGCCAAGCCACATTTATTCATTGAATGAATGCCGACGCTAACTGAATGCAGTAACTCAAGTCCTCTCAGAAAGTGAATCAATGACAAACCTACGGATGAGTGCTTAAATGATCAAACTTCTTGGAAGGGCCGTAGATATTAATGGTATGGAAAATCTCCTCGAACTATCTCCCGAAATAATTGGGAACGTTAAACACACAAATAAGAAATATATTAGTGTGCTACAATGCATTTTTGTGAAGCGACTTGAAGTGAGTTAAAATGTGATATTTTGTTTTAAATTTAACTACCTTGTGCTCTTCTAAATATCATGACTACCTGGAAGGCAACATATGTATGACGTCTACGGCACCCCCCCCCCCCCCCAGGGCCCCTACCCAACCATTGGCCTTGCCTTTTTTGTGAAGCGACTTGAAGTGAGTTAAAATGTTATATTTTGTTTTAAATTTAACTACCTTGTGCTCTTCTAAATATCATGACTACCTGGAAGGCAACATATGTATGACGTCTACGGCACCCCCCCCCCCCTCAGGGCCCCTACCCAACCATTGGCCTTGCCAATCGGCTGTATTGACGTGTTCAGACGTGTCACCCACGTCTCCCGCTTTCCAGGACGGCTGTTCAATAGCAGCAGAGGATCATATCTGACTGAATGAAATGTCAATGGCAAATCATTATCGATCTACTGCTATTGATTAAATAACCATCGATCTACTTACATTACAACTGCTCAAACAAGTTTTGTGGGGGAAAAAAGCACTTTGACTTTTAAATGTAATTTATTTTCTAAGTAATTGAATCGATCAGCTATTGAATCAAAACTAATTCATGGCACATAGGCAATGACTTTCATAGAATCAGTTATCTTTTTTTTCTCTTTTCGCTCCAGTTTTTTTTCTACTTCAAAGCCTTCACAGTATAATGGCTAAACGAAAGATTGCGTTCAAGCAGTGTAGAGTTAATGAATAGTGCAACAAGATATTATTATATAGCGGCATTTTTTTCTCAAGCCTAAACATGTCTTGTTCCACTATCTATTTCACACACAATTTAAAAAAAATAAATGACGCAGATAATTTAAATTAAAATTACATGGATTCCATTGGAAAGAAATTTCTAAATTAATAAATATAACTATATGCATAACTATTTATATATAGTTAAATATAAATAACGATATATATGTATATATGCTATAAAGTTTTATAAAAGGGAAAAACATTTAGGCTAAGGTTTCTTTCAGCTGAATACAAAAATTTCACGGGAAATTGTAATGAGTCAACTTACGGAAGCCATGTTAAGAAATTACTAATACATGATTTTAATTTAATTTTCTTTTTTTTTTGGTAACAGTTATTTTAAAAGAATTTTACAAACACATTTTTTTTATAAATTTATATTTCTTAGCGAAATGCTAATTTATTAATTTTACCTGTTCGTCTCATCACTCACTGAAATCTAAAAAAAAGTAAAATAAAATATAACAAATTGAAAGCAACTACTGACCATTTATTCAATACGTACGAGTTGGGCGTTATACTAAGTATATTCTGTTGAATATTTAATAAACTGATTATTTTAAAATAAAATAATTTAATGCAACTTGGAATTATTTTTTTTTTTAAAAGCAAAGCATTAATTTTTACTAGTACAAGAAAAAAAACGATGTGTTTTTTCAAATGTTGTATTATGCCCTGCAGTGAAGATCTATTTATTTACATCGATCGATTAAACTGTATGTCTTTGGATTGTTTACCTAAAAACAGTATCACATGAAAAGACTCGTTGTTTGTTTCCTCATCTAAAAATCTACTGCAAATGTTGAACTTGAAAATGTTAAACTTAGTTGTTGTGACGAGAGGAGGTCGCGTCACTACGACGTGCCGCGTCATCACGTTTCATGACGTCTGTATTGATCTTCGTGACGCTAATGATCAAGCTTATTACAGGAACCCCAGCCAGTTGCTCCAACTAATAAGAGACTTTTAAAAATGTAGCTCTAACTAAGAAGATACGATTGACGAGAGACGAAAGGGGGGGGGGGGGTATTTCCCCCAATAAGTCTATTTGGAACCAGGGGCGGAGTGGGGAAAGGGNGACGAGAGGAGGTCGCGTCACTACGACGTGCCGCGTCATCACGTTTCATGACGTCTGTATTGATCTTCGTGACGCTAATGATCAAGCTTATTACAGGAACCCCAGCCAGTTGCTCCAACTAATAAGAGACTTTTAAAAATGTAGCTCTAACTAAGAAGATACGATTGACGAGAGACGAAAGGGGGGGGGGTATTTCCACCAATAAGTCTATCTGGAACCAGGGGCGTAGTGGGGAAAGGGGAACACGATGCATAAGAGGGGCGAATGGTCGGGGCAAAAGAGGTCAATTGGAAAAAAAAAATATTTCAATGGTATTTAATTAAGCAGACGTCAACAGCATTAATACAACGTATTTTTTAAATATATTTATCTTTGTTAAAAATGACATTACATGCCATGCATCCCGTTCCATGGGCGATACTAACATAATGACCTCCCTAACACACACACACCAGCCACATGTCACAAAATAACCTGGGGCCGCCTATGTCTAAGGTGCGAACATTTTGTTTTCTCTTCTGTCAACAAGAGTCAAGCAACGGCCGATTATAAATGACTCGAAACTTTTGAAATAGATTTCATTGAATCAGTTCACGCTTAAACAAGTGCTGTGTTCAAGGCCAACATTCCTTTCACCGAACTGATCCAATGATCCACAGCTTTAAGGGACCAGTCGAATATTCCATAGAAATGTTGAATGGTTTCTTTACGCTATTTTTTAAACTCTTTCTGTCCTTTTTTAAAAATAAAAATAAAAATCAAATGGAGTTTTGATCGAGCACTTCCTTCCATGTGCAATGTGAACCGTGGCTTAGTTCACTAGATCGTGTTCGCAAGGTCAAACTTTAATAACTGTATGTAAGGGGGTTGGGTGTGAGGGGTTGATTCGGTGCACTTAAACCCGTGTCTCACAGCTGTTCTGTTCTCAAAATTAGACGAGTGTCACACAGGACACAATTTCTAATGTCGTCATGAGACAAAAAGAAAGGTGTGCTAAAGAAATACCATCAGCATTTTTGTTTTATTACAAGCATCAAGGGAATGTTGCTTCAGGCGGCTGGCGCAGCGTCTCACTGTGGCGTACTGAACGCTTCACGATACGTCTCGTGTTGGAGACCTTCACCCGCCCCCCCCAAACTTAACAGCATTAGGTTTGGGTACATATGTCCTTGAGTGTATACATTGCTTTTGGGGACCCACACTTAACAGCATAAGTTTAGGTACATATGTCCTTAATCACGATACGCCTCGTGTTGGGGACCTTCACCCCCCCCCCCCAAACTTAACAGCATTAGGTTTGGGTACATATGTCCTTGAGTGTATACATTGCTTTTGGGGACCCACACTTAACAGCATAAGTTTAGGTACATATGTCCTTAAGTGAAAACCTTGCTGTATGGGACCCCCCACTGAACAGCATTAGGTTTGGGTACATATGTCCTTGAGTGTAAACATTGCTTTTGGGGACCCCCACTTAACAGCATAAGTTTAGGTACATATGTCCTTAAATGAAAACCTTGCTGTATGGGACCCCACTTAACAGCATCAGGTTTGGTTCATACTTCCCTAAGTGTGAACATTGCTTTTGGGGACCCCAACTTAACAACATTAGGTTTGGGTACAGTATGTCTTTAGGTGTAAACCTTGCTATTTATCTGGTATACAAAGTAACTGATTTAAAACTTAAACAAGAAACAATAAAAACCAGCACAAAACAAGTTGTTTTCTTCTGGACAATACATAACATTTCAAACAGTATAACTGTCTATAGTATTAGAGTAAAATGAAATATACAAGACAAATGAAAATGTATTCTTTCAAATAAACGGGATGACAAAGCCAGCAACCAGATGATTATTAATCATAAAATAGCATCGACGTTTCAAATTTTTTTAAATATATTTTTTTTTTCGTGGATGAAAGATAAATTAGAATTTTAGATTAGTTATACTGATAGATAAGACAAGATACCATTATGTTGATTCAAAAAATAAAAAAAAAATATTTTTGATAGGATTGTACATATTCATTTTCAGCACATAAATAAATACATAATTCAACCAATAAAACATTTTATAGTCATAACAATTTAAACACGGGACATCGAAAGTATTTCAGCTATCAATAAAAATACGTGGATGAGAATATTGACTTAATTAGTTTTCAAATAGATTTGATAAAAGCCGGGGGGGGGGGGGGGAGGGGGAGGGGGGAGTACGCTTGTTACATTGTACAGAAGGGGAGTAAGATAAGTGTTACATCTCGAGGACCTATCTTTCAGAGAAAGTATTCGTCCTGATCGCGCTGATCTTATGTATATGTGATGATAATTAGACACAAACAATATGTGTACATAAGACAATGTTTGTTCAGCTTTAATGATGATTTTACAACATACAAATGTAGAATTGCCTTTATCAGAAGAACCACCCCCCCCCCCCCACGAAGAAACAACAACAAAACAACATTTAAATAGGTATAAATTAAATTTACATATTATCTATTGACAGGTATCTAAAATGGCTTTATCAAAAAAAACCCCCCCCCCCCCCCACGAAGAAACAACAACAAAACAACATTTAAATAGGTATAAATTAAATTTACATATTATCTATTGACAGGTATCCTACCTAAAAATTAGAAAAGAATAAGAGTTGGCGCAAACCCAGACACAAACAAACTGAAGAAAAACAGGAAAGAAGTGTTCGAGGGGAGGAAAGTTAACACAACATTTGGTTTTAGTTTTACAAAAGCAATGGTTCTATAAAATAGTTCATCAATTGAAGTACGTTTGAGTGTTTTGTCCTATTATTGACTTTCTTGATGAGCCTGTTCAATCGGTGTTTAATATCAGACGTTGAATTCCCTCGCCAGTAGGTGGTTCTGAAGTTTAACTGGCTTCCAAAAAGTTGCACTATAGAGTAAGCGGTGTTCAATCGGTGTTTAATATCAGACGTTGAATTCCCTCACCAGTAGGTGGTTCTGAAGTTTAGCTGGCTTCTAAAAAGTTGCACTATAGAGTAAGTTAATAAATTGTTTACGCTGAAAGGGCATAAATTTGTAATATAGAGTAATCTTTGGTTTACGTTTTATACAGATTTCAGCCGCGTTCACGCAATGTCAGCTTAATGGTGACACCTGTGTTATTCTATGTCACTGCTTTCTTTATTCTGTGTGCTTTTTTGTGAGATCTGCAAGTGATTGATATCGCCTCCGGTAATCAACGACAATTCCTTTCGTTTTTTAAACATTTAACTGAAAGAAATTTACATCGCACCAACTAACATGTAACTAGTTTGCGGTACAAGCTTTCCTGCTCAGATATTAATCCAATATTTATGGTATCCACAGCAAATTTAAGGTTTGGAACGGTGTTGTGGTGGCTCTGGATGTCATCGGCATTTATTGAAAACTGGACAAGGGAAAGAACTCAGCTTTGTAGCGTGCCAGTATTTATTTCTCTAGTTACTGATCTTTGGTTATTGACCTTGACATATTCTTGTCGATTTGGTATCCACGCCTAAATGTTTTAATTTACATCTAACGAAGAAAGCCTTTTTTTTTTTTTTAAACATAAGCTTTGGACGGAGAGTGATACATGCTGATGAAAATTCAAAGTAAATCTACTTAGTCTATCTTTTAGTCCTGACTAGGGCTTTCCAACAATAGTAAGATTCTGGCAAATTTATAAGCGAATCGGTGGGGGTCAATGTTTTACTGATAATTCTTACAATTGGTAAAAATAAAAGTAGTTTTAAACCAATAACTTACCCCTCCCAAGGGACACGATCATCGGAACTTCATTGAAATAGATTTTATGTTCTGGTTCAAAATTGTCCTTGAAAAGAGAATGCTAAAATACGAGCGGAGGTTTTTCTGCTAAAATAAATGTACAAACTCCACACTTTTTGTTTAAAAGAAAATGTTTAGATGTTTAGTTTTTAGTTTCCCCCTAAAAAAAAACTATGCAAGTATTGACTTAAATAAAAGTAAAGTATGTTACATCCATCTCTCTCTCTCTCTCTGTCTCTCACAGCCCTTAAACAAAATCTTCATAAAATAAGATTATACATCGTCCCCCCTCTCTGTTTTCTCTCTACCTCTCGATCCTCTGTCTCTCGCCTATTCTCTTGGACCCCTTGTTCCATTCAACCTCTCTCCCTTCCGCTCTTTCTCTCTCTCTCTCTCTCTCTCTCGCCACTCTCTCTATTGCCCCTCTAATTCGCTTTCAAGTTCTCTATCTTTCTCATTATCTCCTCTCTAAGTGATTTTATCCGTTTTCTTTCTTCCAATCTCTTACAATTTTGTATCCCTTTCTCTTTCTCTATTCTTTGTCTCTTCATTTCTCTCCCTCTTTCCCTCCATCTCTCTTCCTCTTCTCTCTCCACTTTCTGTCTCACGGTGTCTATGTGTGTTTCTTTCTTTCTCACTAGTTCTTTCTTTCTTTTTTTTTTACTTAAATTTTCTTTTCTTCTCTTTATCTACACACCCTTATTGCTCTCTAATATTCACGCAAAAACGTAATCATCTATAGGCTTTATGGATGTTAAAAGTTATCAAGAGGTTTTTGTATGTACCAAACTACTGAATTTGTCCCTGCATAAATACATACACACACAATTTCATATAAACATAGCACACGTGAGCTGAGCAGGTGACAATGTTACTTCCTGCGTCCACAGTTATTTGTCACCAACAATCACCATTGCCAGAAAGTGTCTGTGTGTGTTGTTTTTTTTTTAAAGACAATGTAAACATTAACTGCTAATTGCAATGTTTTTACGTGTCGAAATTTGATCCCGAGTTAGTGTGTTCCACGTTAGACCAATCATAATCTGTGGCGACGCATGAAGTGTATAGCTACACATGATGCTGATGGCATTGTTTAATGGGAATAAATGGTTCGTTCAGAGCAGAGGTGGTACAGTGCATAGAGCTGACACGCTTCATTCTGGACACGTTTCACAGTCCAAACGACGGATTTGGATCTTGGTGCTAGAATTCGTTTAGCGAAGGGAAAATTAACTGAAAGTCGACTGAATTTGGCTGAAAAATTGACTGAAATTTAAATAAAAATTGAATGAAATTTGACTGAAAAATTGCATACAATTTACAGAAATTTGTCAGGCTTGATGGGTAAGTACGATGCCGTGTGTGTGTTTGAGGGAATTTAAGCGGGAGATAGATTGAATGATAATATTAGTGGTATAGATAATATGTATAGTATACATGTTCATGATGGAATCGATATTTTGAGTGTGAAAAGGATAAAGGAAGTGAGTGATCGATAGAGAATGAGTGAGAGATACGACGTTGCAGAGAAAGGCGAGAGAGAGAGAATGTGGAAGAAAAGAGAGAAAGCGCGAGAAAAAAAGGGAGATAAAAGAGAAACGGAGAGAGTGAAAAGCGAAAGAGGAAAAAAAAGAGACAATCAAAAATGGAGTTCGAGAGACGAGAAAGAAAAGAAAAAGTGACAGAGAAAGAGAAAAAGATAGAGAGGGAGAGAGAGAGAGAGAGAGAAAGAGAGAGAGAGGGAGAGAGAGAGAAAGAGATAGAGAGGGTGAGAGAGAGAAAGAGATAGAGAGGGAGAGAGAGAGAAAGAGATAGAGAGGGCGAGAGAGAGAAAGAGATAGAGAGGGAGAGAGAGAGAAAGAGATAGAGAGGGAGAGAGAGAGAAAGAGATAGAGAGGGAGAGAGAGAGAAAGAGATAGAGAGGGAAAGAGAGAACAGGAGAAGAAGAGTGTTATATCAACATTTCATACTCGTTATTCCACGTTAGGGATCGTTTCATCGAACCCTAGTGAATATAGGTCAATGAATCCAGGTGTGTGCCAAAGGGGATGATTCGTGGAAGAGGGGGGGGGGGGGGGGGGGGGGGGGGGGAGGAGAGGGTGGAGCCAGCACTTCTTAAAACAACGCGTGTGGAACATTAAAATGAAGAATGGTGTAGACTTATTACATGTGTACATTGTTGTAGACTTATTGCATGTTTACCTTGTCGTAGTCAAATTGCATGTGTACATTGTTGTAGACTTATTGCATGTTTACCTTGTCGTAGTCAAATTGCATGTGTACATTGTTGTAGACTTATTGCATGTTCACCTTGTCGTAGTCAAATTGCATGTGTACATTGTTGTAGACTTAATGCATGTTCACCGTGTCGTTGTCAAATTGCATGTGTACATTGTTGTAGACTAATTTCATGTTCACCGTGTCGTAGTCAAATTGCATGTGTACATTGTTGTAGACTAATTTCATGTTTACCGTGTCGTAGTCAAATTGCATGTGTACATTGTTGTAGACTAATTGCATGTTCACCGTGTCGTAGTCAAATTGCATGTGTACATTTCTACAAGACTTTCACACACAGGGCTCTGGGCAAGGCATTGTGTTATTTTTTAAAAAAAATTGTTATTACACACATTCAATTAGGAAGGACTAAAACTTGAATCACGAATGAGATTTATACGTTGAACAAATGTAATATTTCATGCCATGAAACAAAAGATTTGTTTAAAACTAATTCGTGGCCATATGCCATCTCGTGGCCTTGATTCGGGCACATAAACGTTTTAAGCAATGAACACCATTACAAAAAAGACTTAAAAGGGCACATGGCTTTGTTTTAGTTACAGGGAAGTTTAATCAATAAATACCACTATGAAGAGACTTAGATTGTCGAAAATCGAGCTGACAATAATTTCTTTTAGATTGAATGAAAAAAAAACAAAAACAAACAACGTGATTTTAAGTCTTTTTGTTAATGGTAAAACTATAATGAATGCAATAATGCAGCACAGGATCTGGCCACTAACACAAATACAATCTCATCGCTGTTGATAATGATGATTTTATAAAATATTTAATTATGGACATTTTAAAAAACTAGTTAAAAAATGCACATAACTTATATTAAAATTGCTAATGTTCCCCATGGATTATTTCTGTAGAGGAAGTGATGGTGATCCTGTGGGTAGACCTGGCCCTGGTCTTGCTGGCCCTCCTGATTCTGGTGACCCTAAGCTGTCTGTTTTCAAGAGGTATACTGACCAATGGCGACCCACTAACGGACGAACAACAAAATTAACCACAATATAACAACAAAATAACAACCAAATAACAACAAAATAACAAAATAACAACCAAATAACCTCACAGCCACGAAATAATAATTGGGGATGTTTATTTACGCTATATATTCAAATGATTTTTTTTTAAACACAGAATTATGATAATGAGCCATTCTACGTAATACCGTAAGGTCGATCAGTGCAATAAAATTAACATTACGTTGAGCTTTACTAACCTAAAGCGAAATGCATTAATAAAATATTCGGATGAAATCGCCAATCGCTGTTCTCTGAACAATACACCGTTGAATGTGTTTACACATGTTCAAGTCATTCAGGACGATTCGTCACTGTTTAGTTTTAACTACAAATTATCAGCCTTACACGTGCGGATAAAGAATATAGAGGCACAAATGAAGTCACAGTTTTAACCCCCCCCCCCCGCGCACACCGCGGTATATGTGAGAGAGTTGTGTGGTGTGTGTGTATATATATATATTTATATATATATATATATATATATATATATACATATGTGTGTGTGTGTGTGTATAAGCGTAACTTAAAATAAATCTTTTTTACCCCCCCCCCCCCCAGCTCACATCGATGTATCTGGGAAAGCATTGTGGTGTGTGTGTATATATATATATTTATATATATATATATATATATATATATATATACATATGTGTGTGTGTGTGTGTATAAGCGTAACTTAAAATAAATCTGTGTTTGTGCTAGGGGCGCATTTTTAAAAAAATAGATTTTCTCATGTAGCATTTAGTGCATTTTACGCAGCTGTTCAGCCGTTCGCTTAAGTTAAACACATTTTGAGATTGAGCCATTTTTCGTTAGCAAAATGCAAACTTGTTTTTATTCTCTCACGTACCATTTAGCTGATATTGTACTTAAAAAAAAAAAAAATTCTATTCATCGCTTCTTACTTCAAAAATCTGTCGACTGTCAAAACAACCCGTTTGATGATTACCATTCTTGGCAGATTTTTTGAGTACCTGGGTTTCGTTTCTATTGTCTTTTAAATACCTAATTCTGTAATTTTTTTTTGCATGTAAATACTCTAGTCGTAATCCATCAATCAATTCCCCATCATTAAGAAAAAGTAGATCCCTTTTTCGCTGGGACCCTAGGCACTTGTCTCATTTGCCTCATCTGTCACTGGCAAGAAACATAGGCACAATTTTAAAAAAAACAAATTTTAAGTAAGAATTACATAGAACTAACGTCTGTACATTGTTATTTTTGATAATATTATTATTGATTTAAAAAATGAACAACTTTTAATAGAAAAACTTTTAAAATTGTACATGTGGAATATTTGTTTACTACACATTTAAAAAAAAATTATTTCCACAGACAAGGAAAAAGTTGACAAGTGAGTTTATTATTACCAAAAATAAATAACTATTTTTGTCATATTTATATTGCCCTCCTATGCTTTCACATACTTTATAAATAAACTCTTCTATATTGTTGTGTATTTATATAAAATTTATTTTTTTAAAAAATGAGTATGTACATAATGTTGTATGTTTCTTATGTGAGTACGTAGTCATTTACCTAAGTATCATAAATGTACTAACATAAATCATACAAACGATTGTGTGGCTATTTAGTTCCCACCGGGGCTTCTTAATAACATTTTACACCCCGATTCCACGCAATAAACCACTCCAGTTTTTAGAAATTGCCGTTCTGTCAAATTAATGTAAAAAAAAAAATGATTTGTTGCTGACCGCCATGCCTGCAATCCCTTCCTACGTCAATGACTTTATAAGATTCTAAGATAAGTCTAGGACACTTGTTGAGTAAACAGTCTCTAGGACACATGTTGATTAAATAGTCTCTAGGACACATGTTGATAAGACTGTCTCTTTTGACACATGTTGATTAAACATTTACACATATTGAATAAACTGTCTCATTTGACACCATTTGAATAAACAGTCTCTTTGACACCAGGGGATTAAACAGTCTCTAGGACACATGTTAATTAAACAGTCTCTAGGACACATGTTAATCAAACAGTCTCTAAGAAATGTTTTGATTAAACAGTATCTAGGACACATGGTAAGTTAGCACCACTTAGGACACATGTTTATTAAACAGCCCTTAGGACAGCTGTTGATAAACAGTCACTAGGACAACTGTTGATTAAACAATCTCTAGAACAAGTTAAGATCCATTCTATTCAGAACTAACTGTAAGTAATATGTTTGCATGATCCCTCTCTCTCTCGATTTGACAGATTTGTTTCCATGTGAATAGTACATTATTTTTATTGAAATACTATGACATAATGATATTGCTCTGTTTGTTGTTGCTTAAAATATATTGATGTTTTAAAGTAATTAATTTTTTTTTTTTTAAATTTGAAACCACTGTGTGTACTTCAAGAAAGCTGAGGCAACTCCAGGATGGACTTTCAGGTAAAAGTATTTTGTTCAAAAATTAGTTTTAATTTAAAATTTAAATTCAACTAATTATTATTTTTTTTATTTTAACTTACAAATATTAAAATTTTTACCGAGCAACGTTAATCATTTTTAAACTTATAACATAAATAAAAATAAATTAATAAGATTGGGCCGACCATGAATGAAAACTGAAACACATATACGAAGAACGATGACAGAAAAAAGGTGTAGCAGAAAGCGGACAACCACTGGGAGAAGTGGAGCATTTTAACCGTTCAGGACGTGTAAGTAAGTAAAGGAGGGGGTGTTTTGAAACAGATATCATGGCCAGGAATATAGAAGTCTTGTTTTCTTTTTATCATTTAAAAAAAAGTTCTGCTGAATGTATTTCAATCTTTAACAAATCCCCCCCTTCCACACACACACTTTTTTTTTTTTTACGTTAGTCTGCCATGAACTGATTCGAACAGCCAATTGGACTCACGTGGCCATCATTGACGCTGAGAGGTGGAACATGGCCGCCTATGAAAGTGGCGACGCCCCATCCCCAGCAGATGCCGATGGATCCCGTGGGGTCCCAGCCCCGGTGAATGCTGACGTCACCAACGAGGTCCGCACCGCTGACGGGAACGGTGAAGAAGACGGTGACGTCACCATCAGACTGAATGTGGAAGTCGGACCCGGGGCAGCAAGAAATCAGTCGGAAGAAACAGTGTGTGCTGCAAATGGGGAGACGCAATTTTAAGGCACGCTTTTACCTTGTTATAAAATAACATATATATTTTAAAAGAAAAGAAAAAATTTATTTAAACAAAAAAATATATATATTGATCCTTAATGTAGAGAGTGAAGCTGCCGAATAGAGGTATATAAATAACATATTCTCTGTCAAGGAAGATTCCCAAGCCAGGAATCGCAACTTTCAAACAAGGGCATTAATTCAAATTAAGAATATACTTTTCACTTAAAGTCATTAGCTAACATTATAATTTTGCACATAAAAAGTCGAAGAGCGAGGTTGTAGTGTTTGTGATTTTAGGAGGAGGAAGGGGTCGTAGTGTTGGGGGTGTCGTGTTTTAGGAGGAGGAGGGAGGTAGTAGAGTTGGGGTGTAGTATTTGTGTTTTCAGGAAGAGTAGGGAGGTAGTAGAGTTGGAGTGTTGTGTTTTTATGTTTTCAGGAAGAGTAGGGAGGTAGTAGAGTTGGAGTGTTGTGTTTTTTTTGTTTTCAGGAAGAGTATGGAGGTAGTAGAGTTGGAGTGTTGTGTTTTTTTGTTTTCAGGAAGAGTATGGAGGTAGTAGAGTTGGAATGTTGTGTTTGTGTTTTTAGGACGAGGTGGAATCGATTAACTATTTCTATATCAAACAAAACCTTCCGACATTCAACTATGTAGAGTGAAGCCCGTCTCGATTAGCTAGAACGGCTATACAGATATATTTTTAACGTAGTCTTTATGTATAAATGCAACGTTTCGAGTAGTGAAAAAAATTCAGCTCTAAGATTTTAATGGAGGAACGTATCTTCATTTCTAGTCTATTAAGCACGGAATTTGAAATTTAAAAAAAAAAACAACAAAAGAAAAAACTAATAACAGCAAAGAAAAGAAAAGAAAGTACACGCACAATAAAACATGTTTCACTCAACGAAATTAAGTTCATGCATTTTAACAGATATGTTCAATATCTATCTGGACATATAGAGTAATATAGAGGTTGAATTTATTGATGATTATTTAATATCATAGCAACAATTTTGTGCACACAGTTATACATGTATATCGTTGTTACCTTCCATTTCACAGAGCGGTGCAAGTTGTCTCAGCGGCACGTTTCCAGTAAAGTGCGTCCAGATAGATTCTGTGTTGGGAAAGTTAACGGTTGGGGAGCCGACGACGTCTGTACAAAAGATCCCCTGCCAATCGCTCATAGTTCAAGTGCAAAGTGCTGACCTCATAGACCAACCAAATAATAATTTATCTATTTTTAAATTTAAAATTAACGTTCCTTTGAAATTAACCTTTCTTCATCAAATTTAAACGTTATTAGAATTTTGTATAAAAAGTTCTTTTTTTTTTTTTAATTTAGCAAAATTTGAAAATTAGACCATATTAGTAACGAAAACACGTTTTCAGTAAACAATATTATTTTTTTTTAAATGTGCCACACAGCTAATAAATGTGTGTATACAATACAGACTTAAGTTCGATCAATGATTGTCTCATTCTCGGTGTGTTTGTGTTGATTTCTCTCATCTACTTTAAATTGTTTCTACAAAGTGTTGTTATAGTGCGTATGTTAATGATTTTCTTTTTAAATATTAAGTTTCAAACTTATTTAAATTAAAACAAAATATGTTTATTGAGACTGTTTCTAGTAACAGCTTTCAAATGTTGCTCTCAAAGAGACGAATACCTTTCGTAACTCACATAAATTGAATATTAATTATCATTCTTTATTTTTTAAAAAAAATATGATTAAACAAACTACCAGTTTACTGAGACTGTTTCCAATTAGGATTCAAAAATGTTTTGAGATAAGATGAAGTAAAATAAAATTCTTTACTAGCGCCCTATAACATTGAAGTGTTTATTGTTTTGTTGTCGTTGTTGTAAATATTTATTTTAAGCATATAACCAATGGCGTATTTAAAAATACACCAATTTCAACACAAGTAATTATCTAAAGTAATTCTCTAGCCTCGGAATGAGCCATCAATGAACCCCTTTATGGACAATCATGACTTAATTAGTGAACAATTTTTTATTCTTCGATCACATAAATCGAAACATAGCAATCTTTGAATATTTAAGGGAAAAAATCGAGTAGTTTTCTAAGACACAGGGGTTATGTGGGGAGGGGGGGCGATAATTATCAGATTGTTTGTTTCTGACTGTTACAATAACTATAATTGTCATAATCGTAATTTTAAAAAAATAAAAGTCCTGTACATATTTGAAAATACTTTTTTTTTTTCAAGTTATATACTCAACTTTTGAAAAGTGAATTAAGAAGTTAAGCGAAATAGTTTGAACAGATAATCGATAACTGTAAAAAAAAACAAAATAACTCTGATGGTTTTAGTCACGATTCTTTTATTTCATGATAGGCTTTGTGCTTTTATCTCATTCAAAAATATATATTTTTTAAAAGATGATTAGGAATTATGAAACAATAGTAAGTGCTTCATTCATCATTTAATGAGGATCAATATGTCAAAAGATAATAGTAAGCCAATTAAATTTAAAGAATTTTAAATTTTTAAAATGTCTCATCTGAACTTAGTTAAATACGTTTAGCTAAGTAGGTACACATTTCTAATTGCTCATTGGTTGCGGTGTGGATAAGAAAAAAGATATATTCCTTCAATCCATCATTATTTGGAAAGTGGGATGAGGATGAATTTCTCCCGGACAGGTGAGAAGCATTTTGCCATCGACTCTGTTTAGTTAGATGGGATATGAACTAACGCTCGTAGCCTCCTAAAGCTGATCAACTTGTTCATGTTATGGGTCTAAAACATAATTAACTGCTTACCTCAAAACTACAAATATTTCTGATGAATTATTAAAATTTCCCCCCAAAAAACTGAATTATACGATTTCCAAAACGGAACATTACACATGCAACATGCTTTATTGTTAGGGATGTTAAAATAAATGGATACAAATCAAATAAACAAAATAAATAAAACTACAGCTTAGCTTTGTACAGATTTTTTAAACCTGGTCTGAGTACTTTGCGAAATAGACCTACAGACAGTCCTACCCCTACCTACCGGCCTTTGAACAGTAGGTCTACACACATTACTACCCATACCTGCTGGCCTTTAAACAATAGTCCTCACAGCCTTACCCTCTACCTGCCCGCCTTTAAACAATAGGCCTACATACACTCCTGCACTTTGCCGGCCCTTAAACACTAAGCCTACAGACAGTCCTACAACAAAGCAGTTGCTCTTCCATGATTCCTATAATAGTCGTCTCAACCTAATACCTTTCTAGTTATCTTGTTCCATACACTTGGATTGCATTTAAGGCCAAAAGCAAGGGGGTGGGGGGGGGGTAGTGGGCGTTGAGGGTAAGGGGGGGTTGAGCGGTCAAAGTCTGAGCCCACACTGAATGGCATTGACCTCCGTATTGCAAGTAGTTCACGTGTGGTAGTAAGGTGCTTGTGGGGAGGGGGCAATTTTATCTCTTATTTGGCTGGGTGACATCTTCTGCCAACTCACGTGGCAAAGGTTGCAAAAATCTGAGCTACTTATTTTAAGCATTTTGTTTTTTTCCTCCAAGCTTACCACACATTTTCTCTTAAATAGGAAAATGTATCGGTTTTTATCTATTATTTATTGCATAATTTCAAATGTATGTGTTTAATGCTGCATGCTTTTGATTTTAATTATAAACGTTACTGGAATGCAGTCATATAAACAAAGTACACACTCGCCCTTTCGACTGCGTTAATTAGTAAACCTATCACACAGCTGTAGGTTCACGTCCATTAAAATTCCTTGCCGGAGGACAAACAGGGCAGCCCTGGTGCTGAGGTGTCTCCCCTTTGATCAGCGGTTCCCAACCTGTGTGTCACGATCCCTTTTGTGGGGTCGAACGACCCTTGCACAGGGTTCACCTAAGACCATCGCAAAACAAATATTTATGAAGCTGTAACGTAAATAATGTTGTGGTTGGGGGGTCACAACAACACGGGAACTCTATTACAGGGTCGCGACATTAGGAAGATTGAGAACCACTGCCCTAGATTACACTTCCAGGTGGCGTGCCAGTGTGTTCTAATTTTTATTGACCAGTACACGCGACCTGTTATCGTTGGGTAAATAATTAAGCTTTTTTAAAAAAAAAAAAACCTTTATAAACATGTTGGTTTGTTTCAGTATGACAATGATAAATTGTCTCACCTAAACATTGAAACAGCATATTATGGAAAAAAGTATATTATGAACAAGAATAATATTAAGCCACGTGTGTGCCCATTTCAATGTTGCCCATTAGTGGTCTTCAATTGAATATGTGCGCGTACTTAAATCTGTGTTTGAAATGTTACAAGTGATAACTAATCATGGACGAGGCTCATGGCTCATAAACGAAACATTTTGGGCTCAGCATTTTGTTTTACGAGCCCAGGGGGGTTCGAAACATAAACGCCCTCAATCACCTCCATAAAAGGTATTTACATTTTTTTTTGTCAATCTCATCGGTTATACCGAATGTGAAGGAGGGATGGAGGTTATATCCTAGGGTTAATGGAGGGAGTTAATGTTACAACTTAGAGGGATGGAGGTTATATCCAAAGTTAATGGAGGGGGGTCATGTTTCATCCTAGGCGTAATTGAGGGAGTTAATGTTACATCTTAGAGGGAAGGATATGGGTTATGTTACATCCTAGACGTAATGGAGGTAATTATATTACATCCTAGATGTAATGGATGGGGTTAATGTTACATCGTAGACGTAATGATTGTAGTTAATGTTACATCCTATGGCCCAGGATCTGCCAGGGCCTAAGACTTAGATCAACATCACATAATGGCTTGTCAACAACCGCCATTAATACACGTGTGTTCCTATACCAGGCTGTGATTTGCTAGCACGATCCGTTCTGTTGCAGAGAGACACACTTCCACCACGGTTCAAGTTTAACTCATCTCGAGCTCTATATTTTCAACGCTTCTGTTAGGAACTAGTTGTTTTTTTTTTTGTTGTTTTTTTCAAAAATAAGCTTTTAATTTCATTTAGGAACTCCAGCATTCAAATTTAAACCTAAATTTTTTTGACAACCTTTATCTCGGCCAAAAGAAACTTGAGAACCTGGTTGAGACAGCTTTTAAGGGAATAAAAATTAAACCAAGACAAAGTTCCCAATTTCAAACTGAGTTCCTCAAATGGGTGAGTAACAATGTTCCTTGTGTTATTATAGTCGAATTATATAAAAAATTGTTTTTTCTTTGTTATATTCTATTTTTTTTATTTTCATTGTTTTTTCTTTGTTATATTCTATTTTTTTTATTTTCATTGTTTTTTCTTTGTTATATTCTATGAAAATAAAAACATAAGGCAAAAAATATTCTGGAAAAATAAATAATCATAGCTTATTCCAAACTGTTGCGGCTTGTCGTAATTCGAGTTGGAAAAGTGCTGTATTAATGACATAAACAAATCTTTTGTGTCAATAAAACATTATATGCCGAACATTAAATACGATAATAAAAGATTCAACTTCAAAAGTTTCCGCAAATCCCATTAAATTTACAACAAAAAAACATTTTATTTCCTTAGAATTTAGATTTACAAAAATATATATATATATGACATCCGTCTGACTCCGCGGGACGATGGATAAGCTATGTACAATTCGTGTCCGACTCTGGAATGGCGGTCGCGGCTGCACTTCTCGCAGAAGAACCTTGACTCATCGTTAAATTGGATCTTCAGTAATGCTCTTGTTCCTGCAAAGGTCATATATTTCGCGCATCTTCTGCCATTTTTCACTACTTCATGGCAATGCTGTTCGCCAGCTGGAGCGGTGCTCGGCGATGATCTCTCATTGGTTCATTTCTGTGCTGGGTTCCCTAATGCTCTTTTTCCAGACAACCTTAAATCGCCGCCCTGATGTTCATTACGTGTTTCCATTCCTGCTAAATCTCCATACAGCATATTACTTCAACTACGGTTGTCCTCCATTCTCCTTTGATGACCCTATAATCATTGAAGGCTCTCTTTTCTAAGAGCAGAGAATATGCTTCACATTTTGGCACGTTCCAAAAACTTTGTCCTGCCATCGAATACAAAAAAAAAAAAAACACACACAAAAAAACGTGACATCTTTTGTGGAAGGTGTTGGGTTTTCGCTCATGACTGGCATACGTGGTCTACACTTTACTGCCTTGATGGGAGCGTACCAAGCACACATTTCGCCATAGTTGCTGCTGCTTTTGTATTCCTGATGTTCACCTCCCCTTGAACGATGAGTGAACTTAAAATATTGTATCTAGTGTATGTGAAATTTTCAACAACTGACAGGTTATTGCCCCCCAATAGTTATGTTTGTAGGTCACTGTTCTTACTTAAGCAAATATCCGAGCTGTAAATAATTAAGAAATATAATAAGAACGAACAAAAGTCGCTATCGAAAGGGAAACGCTAGGGATAACTGAAAGCATTTTGTTTTAAATCGAAATTCTCCTCCATTTGTTTCTTTCAATTCTTCTCTGTTTTGCTTTTGTTTGAGACTTCGTTCATTTTTTTTTTCTTTGTACACATAATGTAAATTTAAATGTACCAATGAAGGTATTTGCCGAAACGATTGAATTTGATTTATCATAATGCTATTTGGAAGAGAGCCCCAAGTTTTGTTTACGAACTATATACATTTTTATATATTCTATTTATTTGTTGTCTCCTTTTTAGTGTTTTGTTATTTTTTTGTTGTTGATTTTAACCATGTATTTCTTACACAGCTTCACTAAGTTATTTAGGAGAAATATAAATTGCACTACATAAAATTTAATTTATTTTTCTACTTTTAGCGATTCACGGAGAACTACCGAATTCGTTATCAAGTTATCACTGTCTTTTATGAGCACTTCTGTGTGAAATATCTTAAAAGCTAATCAGTTTGAAAGATTCTCAAACTGAGAATGCAGCTTAGATAGCTCAAAGAATACAGCGTTAAACTGTGTGCTGTTAAAAAAGGTTGCGTCTACTATTCTAATAGCAATTCAACCTGTGTTTACCATTCTAATTGCAATTCAACCTGTGTTTACCATTCTAATGGCAATTCCACTTGTGTTTATCATTATCATAGCAATTCAGCGTGTTTGCATCATTTTAATAGTATTTCAACAGAAGACTCAAAATACATTTTAATGCAAGAATTCTTACCAGAAAAATAGTAAATGACGTTTCACTGAACCAATTACACTAGAATAAAATAAACAAATAATACAGAGTAAGAGAAGGTGATTCTTTTACATTTCTCCGTCTCCAAACCAGTCAGAAAGTTGGTTACGGCTGAATATATGGTGTTCTAAACATGACAACCTTGTGGTCAGTATCTCACACTTTTAGATACGGCTGAATGTATGGTGTTCTTAATGTAAAAACCTTGTGGTCAGATTGTCACATATGTGTTCGACTTTCTTTTGCTTTCATGAAAACGGAAAGATCTTTCTCCTCTAAAATAACAATCTAGCAAGCGGTTTTTTTTCGTAATAATTTAATTTTTAAAATTTAATTTGTGTTGCTCTTTCCAGCCCCAGAAGAGTACATTGTCATGACTTTTGATTTTATGCTGGCATTCGTGGATATAATGCTTTTGATCGAACTGATGTGCACATACCTCCTAGGTGTGTAACTTCAGTTAGTGATTCTATTCTCACCACATTGCTCTCAGTGTTAACATCATGTTGTGTGTTGTTGCTGATCATGACACGTCATCAACCTGACAGCACACTCCCCACCCCCACCTTCCCATTAAAAAAAAAATGGTTTGATAGGCTCATCTCCTATGTGAAATATCAATGGTTACTTTTACTAAATAAGTTAAACAATAACATTGGCGTTTAATTTTATTGTAAATCACATCTACAACTTTTTAGTAAAAACAAGCAGCACTGTAATTCTCAGAATAAATGTTTTTAAAAAACAATGATCACAAAGATGCTCCCAGCATTTACCTCACACATCTTATGTTCCAAAAACTTTTTTTTTTGCACACATCCTATTCCAAAGACATCCATTTACACTTATCAAGTCTCCCAATACTACATTAACCAGATCAGATCCCAAACATTTGTTTGCATCTCTTTTATGCGATGTATATTAATTTTGGAGTGTCCTGCTTCCTTTTCCCCATCGTGGCGGAAGGTAGGGTGCAGGACTGTCGGTAGGCCTAGTGTTTACAGGGCGTCAGGTAGGGTGCAGGACTGTCGGTAGGCCTAGTGTTTACAGGGCGGAAGGTAGGGTGTAGGACTGTCGGTAGGCCTATTGTTTACAGGGTGGCATGTAGGATGTAGGACTGTCGGTAGGCCTATTGTTTAAGGCCGGCATATATTATAGAAAATGAGAAGTTAACTCTTTTCTGTCACACTTAACCACCGAGTATTTTCTCAAAATGCCCGGACCCGGTTATAAAACAAAAACCAACTTCACCCGGTCAAGCCGTAGTTTTTACTGTTTTCCACACGTTGCTTGCACCAGTCATAACCCATACAGTCCCCAACACGATTCTACTGATTTAGAGCCGTCTAAAAAGCTTAACATTGCCTCATTAATTTTTAACCACTTAACTCATGTTAAGATCTGATTCCTGTTGATGATCAGGACTTTAGCAGTGACACATTTATCCTAACATATTAAATCGACGGCATTCCTTTCAAATATGCTCATTTAAAACCAGTCACTTTAAACCAGGTAGCAAGTTACTCTCCTCCCCCCCCCCCTCATTATTTTTGTCTGCCGTTTCCAACGGGACACGTTTAAACTTCATCAGGGGGTAGGCATAGAATTTAACATCATCGCTAAAGTAATTAGCTAGCACGAGACCCGTGTCTCAGCAGAGAGACACCACCGTGTACACTCGTTTGTAAATGTGTATAGAGCCGCTGTTTTAAAGTGAGCACTCATTGTACATCGTAAAATGCACGAGCTACATAACGATCTACGCGATCAGTTTCCTCTGTCCTGTGTTCTTCTCTAGACTGTTCATCCCTGCACTGTGTTCATTTGTGGATTATGTTCATCTCTGCACTTTTTTCATCTGTGGACTATGTTCATCCCTAAACTATATTTTTCTCTGGACAATTTCCATCTCTAGACTATGTTCATCTGTAGACTATGTTCATCTCTAGACTATGTTTATCTCTAGACTATGTTCATCTGTAGACTATGTTCATCTCTGGACTATGTTCATACTTCTAAACCATTCTTTATATTACAGTTTTGAACATTGCTATATGTATATATAACCAATTTAACTTTTAACCAATATATTTTAGAAACACAATCGTAATAATAAGTTTAAACAAGGGCGTAGCTAGAGTGTTTGGCGCCCAGGGACTAGATTCATTTACCCCCATCACCCGGCATTTTTCGACTGCATTTTCATCACTTAAATCAATTATTTTTGTCCGGGCAGTAACGTCAAAGTTCATTGACCCCTCATCATCAGTCATACGCCACGCTACACATGTTCCAATCTGCCCTCCTTAGTTACACATATAAGTTTAGTTCTTGCTGTGAGGAATTATTTTCACCCTTGTTTACCCATTAAAAGCATCTATACCATTTGACACTTTCATTTAGTTATTATACAATTTAGTTTATATTTATAGGAATATATATTTATTTACCATATATATATATCTGCTTGATGTATATACTTATATATACTTTTTCAACAGACAGACTACACAGTCAGAGGTAAGAATAGTAGAATAATCAAAAGGATCTAAAGTCATATTTTTTCGTCTGTTTTTATTTATAGACATGAATATTATGGTTAAGATATTAATTTCTTAATTGAAATGCACTTAGTTATCTCGTGTTTCTTTCATGGTTAGGTAATCGTGATTGGGAATGATTGTTATCACATTTTTTAACATAAATAATCAGGGTTGAGTAATCATGACTAGGAAAGTTTATAATCACATCTTAGAACATAAATAATCGGGGTTGAGTAATCAAGACTGAGAAGGGTTGTAACACATCTTTGAACATAAATAATCATGGTTTAGTAATATCGCAACTTTAAACATAAATAATCATAGTTGAGTAATCATGACTGGGAATGATTATAATCATATCTTGGAACATACGTCATCTAAAACGCTCATGGTAATAAACACTTATCTTCGATGTATCCGAGGAAAAAAAAATATCCATTCCTCAAAATCTATTGATAAAACATAGATACTTTGTGTTTCTCACAGTGGAAGTTTACAAAAATTCCCAAGGAGCATTGTCAAGAAGTACACCGTATACACATTGTTTTTTTGGTTAAGGGTGTGCACATTAAAAACTGATGTAAGGGTGTGCACATTAACAACTGATGTAAGGGTGTGCACATTAACAACTGATGTAAGGGTGTGCACATTAACAACTGATGTAAGGGTGTGCACATTAACAACTGATGTAAGGGTGTGCACATTAACAACTGATGAGAAATATTTTTGTATCAGATTTTTTCATTTTCATTTTTTAATATATACTTTAAAAAAAAACTACATTATTTTACTAAACATTATTCCTCCAATTGTTCACTTTATTTATAAAATATATTGAACGCGTTAGGCTCGGTGGATGAAAGTGTTTTTGTCAAATACACGTTTTACGAGTTTGATTAACAGCTCTTCATTCATTCCATGCTTTGGCTTAATATTAAATTTTATTTGACATTGTTATCCCGCCACTGGTTTCAACTAGCAGGGAACAAAATTGGAAGGACAATGCAATAATACTTTGACAAAGCATTTTGTCTCAAGTTATTATTAATATTTTTTAAAACTTATTTTATTGAAAGGATGAAATAAATTCCCGATTAATTCCCTTATCAAGGGCTCTCGCAGTCAACAGGACGATATGAAGACATCTATAATAAGCGAAGTATTTTATAAATCAAGGTCTACTCTAAACAAGAACAAAATACAAACATTTAATTTTATGATTGCCTTCTAAGTTCGTTTTTAATCATTTTTGCGTGAAATTAATTGATGATATATGTATCAATTTTTTTTTTTTTACATGTTGCTGAAAGGGCAATACACAGGGTTGAAGTGGAACACAGACGTAAGTTGTGCTTTGTAGTTGGTCCTAAACACTTGGAACTAGTGAGCTGATTTGGAATTTGTGTGTTAGTTTACATTCATGAACTCTTTAAATAAATGCGAAAAATACTTAAGTGTCGTAGCAGGAAACAAAATATACAAAGCAAACCTAAAAGAACTACCTTTATAATAATTTTTTAAAATAGCGGGGATAAAAAAAATGTACAAAGCTTCTACACTATACGTCACCTATTAATACTAAGGATTTCAAAATATATGTTCCTGTAGATTTATTACCAATCAACATCCAATAATTTTGTTACAATTTTTGTGTTATTTCCGCAATGTTTTATGTGTATATGTGTGGATGTGTATGTGGTGTGTATGTGAGCATCTGAAGTGAATACCGTAAAGTAACAGACAATTGGCCTCGAAGCTTTGTGAGTATCATTTCTGTTTTATTTTAACATATCATAGTCTATAAACTTATGGCGGAAGATTTGATGAGCTCTGTCAAGATCATTGCTCGGGCCCAAGGGATCTATGATAACAAAGGACAGGGAGATGGTCAAGAGGCGGCTCCGAACACGGGCTGCACGGAATTTGAGCGGGGACCTCGCGGCACAAGCACGACGAGTAGAGTGGACAGAGGCAACGCGGACCGACCTGCTGAAGGCGCTGCTAAAATACAGGTTGAGGGGAAGCACGGGGGCGCGGCCAGAGTAAACATGGCGGGCAGGGCGAAGGCTAATGCTGAGAACGGACATGAGGACGATGCCGAAGTGAATCTGGAAGGGGGAGATGAAGACACCGTCAAGGTGAACATCGAAGAAACATCTGCATTCGTTGGTGTTCAATGCCTACCAGGTTAATGTATTTATATATTTATAATAAATAGTTACATTATATATATGTAAATATATAATATATTAAACTTTACTTCTTTGTTAATATTAAATCAAATAGAGTTTTTTTAATTATTGCTAAATTTTTTGAGGTATAGGCTATTTGAAAGGGCTTCGAATCAAATTTCTTACCCCCATAAACAATTTTAAGTAAAATGTACGTTTTTAAGAATCCCGTTCACAGTCTGTTGGCACTACAAATGCCGTGTGCCTCTTGGCTTATGAAAACATTTATGTGCTCGTCAACTTTTCAAAACAAATTATATAAGTTAAGACTGGTATTGACTCTTCAGTCAACCTGTAATAGAAATTGCGATAAAGTTATAAGGAAATTGTCCAATCCCTGAACATTGAAGATGCCAGCAAAATGCTTTAATTATTACAAATCTGGCACTTTGAATTGAGTCTATTTACAGATGCTAAAGAATAAAAAATTTTTAAAAAAGCAACAAAAATAAACATTGGATGACCTAACGTATGTTTTATTTAAACAGGGTCAAAGTTCAGGGCATGAATTTAGATTGGTCCAAATTGACAGTGATGAAGAAGCACGGAATCAACTGGATCTTCTCCAATCTTACTTGATGCAGAATCCTGGAGGGAGAGCTTACACCGTTTGAAATGTAGCCGGCTTTTTTTCTCCCCTTTCTATAAAAATTCAAATGTTTTTTGTACAGTTATTAAAATAAATATATGTACAAAAATTTGATCAGAAAGTTTTGAATTAAATATAAAATATCCTGCTCTGCATTCTAAATCTGATCAATTGATAATTGTTCAATAAAAAAAATTATTTCATTTTAAATGTAGACTTTTGCAATCTTTGTTATCAATACTCATATATATTACGGACATTTTTTTTAATTACATGCATAAGAACATTTTAGAGTTCTTTCGGGTCCATAAAAAATTTTTAATCAAACGTTGATTGATAAATAATACAAAACCATTCAAATATATTTTTTAAAAAATCAGTTAATTTTCTTTCATATAAAGCAAAACCATAATAAGAGCTACTAATTCTATTTTAAAATAATAGTTTTATTTTTTAATAAAAAATTAGGTAAAACCTTTGAAAAAATTCTGACTTTAAAAAGTTGTCAGAAAAACAATTAAATTATAATCATGTCATATTCTACACTTGAAAAAAAAAATGAAATTGTTTTGTTTGAAATGGCAAGGGAGATAGCTTGTAAATTTTAAATGATCATTGAATGAATTATCATGGAATATTTACTTCCCCTTGACATAATCATTGGTACAATAACTGCTAGAAATTAATGGATATTTTATTTTGATCTCTATCTATATACAGATGCATCTTTTATTCTAGGCTTTTAATGTTCGTGTTAAATTATAAGTGCTTTGAAAAAAATTCACATAACTAATTGTCGACATAGCGAGAATCGCAAAATGAAATCGAAAAATATAACAAATTGACATTCAAGAAGTGTTTGCTAACTGCCATACACATATTTAACACAAATACATAACCGTTTAATTTGATTTTTTCTTGAAAGAAATTAAATCAACCTGAAATTTAAACAAAATCACGGACAAACTGATCTCTTCACGCCAGAGACTTAACATCCCAAATATATCAACGGATCAAGATAATTAAGTGGTCAATCTTAGGTGTAAAAAAATAAGTTAACATTCGACGATATGGTTTGGTCAACTAAAGAATGGCGGAATAGTTTGTTCCCGAGATGACCCATCGTTGGCCAGATGCCATTAGAGTATTAAGTTCAATAAATGTAAAACCATTTGCGTAATTCTTTAGATGTTGTTAAAGCACATACATCTCAGATGAAAACTCATCTATGCGCGCTACGCAAACACTTAAACGAATTAATATTTATGAACGTATCAAGCCTATTTATTAAATTTAGCTTAAACTGTTTGGGTTATAATGTAACTTAAAAGACGTGAAAATTAAATAAGATAAGATTCTTCATTGATTCAAATAAATTTAAATGGTTTTCTTTTTTCAAATACATTGTATATATTTACTTTCAGAGCATAAATAAAATGATTTTAAATTCAAGACATATATTTTAAAATCATAACATTTTAAACACAAGAATTCGGAAGTATTTGTTTGAAGTAGAAATAAGACGTAAATGAATCATTTTATTCACAATCATGACGTAATTAGTGAGCATATTGATTTGGTAATCGCTAGAGGAACGCCCTGTTAAATTCTTACAGACTTGGGACCAAAAGAATGTGTACGTCTTTCGATCCCACCTCTAAGGGATAACTTTTGATATGATCCAGCAAATCTTAGGTATCTTTGAGGAAAAGATGTATCATCCAAAAAATATATTTGTTTCTACACAATTTTCTTCAAATAGTTACTTAAATGAAGGAAGTTGAGTACCTTCTATCTCTATTCTATGTAAGTTTTAAATCTCAAATGTTACATTTATTATTCCTAAATTCTATAACTGCTATAATCTCTTTGGAAGTACGCGTGTATTGGTTTTGGTCATCTTAGCTTACGTCTCTAGCAAAGAGAGCTTCTTTTTCTCAAAAAGAGCATTTCCTTTTTTCCAACATATCGAGCTTCTGGCAGATATAGATTTCAAATTCATTTTTAGATCTTTGTCGTCTCTAGTATTTTTGTATGCCAAAGAAAGCATCCAGCCAAAATATTCCTTTGATTATTCTGTCTTTAGTTCTGATATTTCCAAAACTGAGACAGAAAATTGTTCATCTAAGAGATGAAACTAAGACAGATGTTGGCTTATCTAAGAGATTCAACTGAGAAAGATGACTCATCTAAGGGATGAAACTAAGACATATGGCTTATCTAAGAGATTCAACTGAGAAAGATGGCTCATCTAAGGGATGAAACTAAGGCAGATGTTGGCTTATCTAAGAGATTCAACTGAGAAAGATGGCTCATCTAAGAGATGAATGCTGTATCAGCAACCGTACGCTGACTTGCGGCTACCCATGCTAAGGGATTAAAGATGGATACCTTAACATAAAGATCCGACAATGGATTCCTGTATCAAAATCTTATTATATACCATAAAAATACCGGTAACACCTGCAGCGCACCAATTCCAGTTGATGCTTCCTTGTGAACGAGGTTCAGTCCCAAGGTAAAATGGATTGGCTCCGTTCCGTCGACGTAAACTAAAAAATCGGGAGTTATGTATAAGACGTCTTATTATTATTATTATTATTATTATTATTATTATTATTATTATGTGGTTTTATAAACGCCTACAGACAATAACAGAAGGGTATAAGCAAAAATTGTTTTGAGGATGCTGGTGATTTTTAGCCGGATATGAAATACACCCAAATGAAATCAGGTTTCTCATAATTTGTCAATAAGTTATTAGAAAAAACAAAACAAAACAAAAATAAACAAACACACACACAAACAAACACACAAACAAACACACAAACAAACACACAAACAAACACACAAACAAACACACAAACAAACACACAAACAAACACACAAAAACACACAAACAGACACACAAACAAACACACAAACAGACACACAAACAAACCCACAAACAAACACACAAACAAACACACAAACAAACACACAAACAGACACAGAAACAAACACACAAACAAACACACAAACAAACACACAAACAAACACACAAACAGACACACAAACAAACACACAAACAAACACACAAACAAACACACAAACAAACACACAAACAAACACACAAACAGACACACAAACAAACACACAAACAGACACACAAACAAACACACAAACAAACACACAAACAAACACACAAACAAACACACAAACAGACACACAAACAGACACACTAACAGACACACAAACAAACACACAAACAGACACGCAAACTTTTAAGTCATAAGATATTTACTGTGTTCCATTATAATCACATTAGCTAGAAAAACAAATTCGCAAAGCACACATTAAAAAAAGGCGTATAACAATGAATGAACACATTTTTTTATCCTTAAAAAATAAATTCGTTCCAAGCTACTTGGTATCCGCTACGTTCAAATTTGTTTAAAACGGAGTAGCTTGCCCGTGGTTGCCGCCTACTTTTACCAATTTGGGGACGGTTTCCAAAATCATGTTTGTTGTCTCTAAACTCGATTCCGCTAAGTTAAGTGGGGTTAAATAAAACAGACTCAATGCTACAGGCTTTAAAATAAATTCATACTTTTTCTCTGAATAAGTTCTTTCCTATCAATTCACGGTGACGTCATCCGATCCATCTTTACTCAGCCAAACAATGACAACCTCCGAAGATATGAAAGCGGAAATAATATGCACCAACCCTTCGTGCTCTTTTCTCTTCAAAATTTTTTTGTGGCCCTTTGTTCACGTATGCCATAAACTTACTACACTAGATAAAACCGTGTTTTCTATATTTTCAAAACATGTTGTGTTCAATGAAGTGATGTTTGTTTAGAATAATATTTTTATTTGTGTTTTTTTTCAAAGATACAACAAAGAAGAATAAAAAAATTACAATTATTATCTTAGATTCAATAGTAAAAAAAAAGTGTCAAAGGACTTAAATACGAGCTTTAGAATTATTATTTTTATAAATATTTAAAAATGTATGCAGTAACAAACTAAATTAATAATGTTTATTAGTTTAAAAAATAGGTAAACCATTGTGATTTTACTAATATTAAATAAAAGCTATATAAAATATTTTCTAGACAATTTAGTATGATATGCCAAAACTTTAAATAAGGTAATCTAACGTAAAAATTTAGAAGTAAAAATATAACAAATATATTTTTTTTTAGGGTCATGATGAAACAATATAAATACGATGTTCGAGGCTATATTGTTTTATAAAGTTGTCCTTTTTTTCTTAGGTTTTCTTTTGACAAGTATAGAAAAATAAATATTTAAACTGTTTAGCAAATTTAGGACTGGTGGCGACGTAAGTGATGAAGTTGAGGAAGGAGTTTAGGACAAAAACTGTCGTAAAAACATAGTAGACAATAGTGGCTATGTTTTTATCTTCCGAGAACAAGTCTATCCTAAACCAGGTCAGCATGTCAAAGATGGACGAGGGGATTAAGATGAGGATCATCATCGATAGGCAAACGTGGAGAACAGTTTTGGTGGACTTCATCTCTTTGAGTCTTTTAGACGAATTCGTGTTGGAGAGTTTATTTAGGTTCTTCCAATTGAGAGCCATCGTGCTCGTGATCATCACTGTGCTTATAACGATTAGCGTCATGGGAAGGGCATAGATAAATAATATTGTCACTATCAGTCTGTAGTACAACAGCTGGTCCCAGTACTCTAAGTAGAAATCGGTATAGATGAGTATGGCGTACGGCACGTTATTTCCGTCGTAATGAATCGAAGGGTACAACATGTACAGAAAAGGAGAATTTAGAGCAGCGTAGAAGATGAACCCCAAAACAGTAATGAGCCTCACACGGGGCCGGGTTACCAATCTCGCAACGTGGAAGGGAAAGCAGACCGCTATCATGCGCTCGACGGCCACCAGCACGACGTAAAATCTGCTGGCGAACAAAAAAATTTGATTCCACATGTAGACGTAGGACAAATAATAACAAAAGAACATGTAGGATAACCTGGGGTTGAAATACCAAACGATGTTCGGCAGTCTAAAGATCAGCTGGGTCGCAGACACGAACAGGTCGACCGCCGACAGACTCAGCAGCAGAAAGCTCGTCGTGTCCCGGAACTTGTGGTTGGAGAGTACGATGACGTTAAAAATATTTCCCACGATGCTGCAGATGCA